TAGGGTTAAAAATAAAGTAAAATGTTTTTAAAGAAACATCAATGTGAGAAGTAATTCTAAGGTACTTCAGCTCTGTAAATATAACGCCTAGCTTATGAACATTGTATTGTTTTTAGAAATATTATTATTATTATTTAATAAAACAATTTTTGCAGAAACAACTTTTTTCTTGGATTATCCCGAATTACAATTTTCGAGCTCTTAAATTCCATTTTCCTGAAGCTTTTATAATTATTTCTTGAGAAGGAAAAAAATTTCGTTTTGCTTGTAATGTAAGAAGACAAAAAAAAACATTGACTTTAGGCTAAACATTTTCCTAAAACGCGAGATCCGGGAAGGCTAATCTTGCAGTTCAGAAGCAATACTTACTTGTCCATGACCTTGCCGCCTTAGTAACAGCAAGGCGGCTTCTCCTTCATTAGCAATGAGTGAAACCTGAAAGTGCTCTAAACCTTCCTGCGTGCAGGAAATAATCGGTAAAATATAGAGACTAATGTCAAAATCTTGTCTGGAATGCAGCATGGCCGGTCTGAAACAGGTATGACCTATTTTTCTTTTCGCACGTTTTCCAAGATGGCGACTCAGCCCTAAGTACACCCTAGTGTTCACCTGTGTGAACTGTCTTTTCCGGTGATATGTCGACAGACAAGGAAACCAACTAAAACCTTTTGTTTCGTTTCCAAGACTGTAAAGGACTGCTTTGTAATGATAGGAATGGTCACATGCAAGATATATAACCGAAACTTTAAGCAAATAAAAAAACAATTCGAAAGATCATGGTCGTTTAATTTATTCAATGTAGAAGATAATTAAACCCGATTTTGGTGTAATTTTTACTCCTTTTATACTTACAGTTTTTATTTGTGTTTTTACAAGGAGGGAGAGGGGGAGGGAAACATGGGTTATTTTTTGTGCACTTTTTTTCGTTTTTAGTGCAAAGCTACACAATGGGCTATCTATCCCCTGACCCCGCCAGGAATTGAACCCCGGATTTTAGCATTGTAAATTTATGAACTTATCGCTGACCCGTCGTTAACTTATGATAAATTAACATTCGTTTAGGGCATTGTATTTAATATGACCTGTATTGTAGAATTGTGTATTTTGCACGCATATTTAAGTAAATATTAATTTTAGATTTTACATTGACATTTAATTCCCACATCGTTCACCAATTTTTGGTCAGCACTTTACAAGGACAGTTATCGTGTGACGTCACCACAATTGATCGGTCGCATTAGTGTCAAGACCTCACATTTCTTGTGTTTTTGACCATTGGTATTAATGTGATTTCTTATAAAGCTAATAATTGAATTAGACATAATTTGTTCTGAATGCCCCCCAGTGCCACAGCGGTATGTCTGCGGACTTTTACCGCTAGAAACCGGGTTTCAATACCCGTGGTGGGCAGAGCACAGATAGCCATTTGTGTAGCTTTGTGCTTAACTACAAACAATAACAATTGTTCTGAATAGTTTATTTAAAAAACCGGTGTGTTTAACAGAATATAATTCTTAAATTCAGAATAAACAAAATACGAGCAGTACACTGTGAAAAGACTAGTGTCTCTGGAAAGGATTATATTTGACCACCCCACTCTCCCAAAAAAAAACACATTTGAGGTAAAGCCATCCATTAGGCGCTTCGTGTAACGTGTTTGTAATTAAACGGTATTATTTTGATCAAACAGAGTTAAAGGGTTTATCGAAGCAATTTATTCTAACAATACACTATATAAAGTAATTAATCTTTCACACAAGCGTAATCTCTTATTTTTCACACAAGCGTAATCTCTTATTTGAACTCACATTTCCTCTGATTGCAAAGTTTTCAGAAGTGGATGTCATAACTTTTAGGACGTTCTGGAAAGGTTTGTATTGTTTCATACCCGTGGTCATACTCTTTTGAAGTATGTACAGCAGATTGCTTTATTCTCGAATATTTGTTTTAAAGTTATAAAAACTGTAATTTTTTGCCTCATAATCCAGCTTTTATGATTGCGTAGAAGTATCCATGTACAACACAAAGGGACATCAATTTACAATTCAAAACACATAATGTCCTTTACCAATTTACAATTCAAACATTGGTTGAAACTGACCCTTTATATCATCATTTCTCGCTTTAAAACGTTTTTATCACTATATTGTTGGCAATTCCGCCAAAAAGTTTTTGGTATAAAACATTTACTGTCCCCCGGTGGGGCAGTGGTAAATTTATGGAATTATAACGCTTAAATTCGGGGTTCGATACCCCGCGGTGGACACAGCAGATAGTCCAATGTGGCTTTGGTTTGAAACAAACACACAAAACATTTATTAATATGAATAAAACTCGCAATTAACCAAAGTAAATGAATAATTTCTGCCTGCTGTTCGTAATATAATTTTACTTGTTTTTCGAGAAAAAAATTACCTATCTTTAAAGAATGATTCCAGGTAGACAGTTTTTATTAAGGCCTTGAATATCCGTTTAAAAAAAAAGTTACATTAATCGAAAAGTTTATTTTCAATCATCCTATGTTGTTTTCAGCTCTCCAGCAAAAAATAATAATAGTTTGAGACTATATTTGAATTGTTATTTAATTCTAGAGTTCAAGTTTTCGATGTACCCCCCTTCAATGGTTGCTGCGGCTAGTGTTGGGGCAGCTGTGCAAGGACTACACAGACTCAATAAGGAATTATGGGAGTCATCCAGAGAACTGTTGACGAGGCTTCATCTCATCACAGGCATCGAAATTGTAAGAAAGCAATTATAAATTGTAGTATTTTAATGATTATCAAACCTTAGATAAAAATAAAATTCAATTAGAGCATAGGAGAAAGATATGATATTAAGGCCTAACTTGTAAGCGCCATAAACTTAATTTTGGGAATCAAAAAACCTGTGATGCTTTGCTGAAACATGCGTTTTGTAATTATTAATGTATATTATGTGGAACCGAAAATATAACTTGCCAGAGCTTGTTATATTATCAAAAATCTAAACCACATTGGTTATATTTCTCTGAGCTGATGTGAGAAATGGGATATTATTGTAGGTATACTCAAACCAGGTGTACTTTTTTAAAGTGCATGAAACCTACTTCAAACAAGGTTTAGATTGCGAGAAGTACACGACACCTACTTCAAACCAGGTTTACATTGTAAGAAGTACATGACACCTACTTCAAACCAGGTTTACATTGTGAAAAGTACATGACACCTCTTCAAATTAGGTTTACCTTGTGTAAAGTACGTGGCATCTATTTCAAACCACGTTTATTCTGTGTGTGGGGGGGGGGGCACATAAAACTAACTTCAAGCCAAATTTGCTTTTTGGAAGGTGCCTAAAAATTTATGAAAATGCCTCTTTTTTATCACTGCACACGAAACTTGTTTTGATGAATTTACATGTTTCACAAATCGCATTTCTTGAGGTCATCATCATCATGCGAATACATAATTAAAAACTGTGTTTGAAAGTTAAACAGCAGGAAAAATAGTTGAATTTTATAAGCAGTATCAACAACGTTAGCCAGAATATAACGCCCTCGGTGATAAGCATGTACTTCTTTGAATAAGCTGAGATACATATGTATATTTAAGAAAATTAGTTACTCCTTTAGATTACTGCCGATATAAGCAGTGGAAATCGCCACCCAGGGAACATAAATATTAATTGTATATTAATATCTTATAAGGTAATTTTACATACCTGCGTTATGTTATGTTGCTAAAACATTTTTTACTGGGAGTTCCCAGTGTTTATCCCTGTTGGTGGAGGAATTGTTTGTCACCCAGAAAGTCTGGGGTTCGATACTGTGCCGTGAAAAATTAGAAAAAAAAAAGATTATCACATACCGTGCAAACCATTGTAATTTGTGGTGTTCAAAATACCTTGATACGTTTTTGTTTGTTGTTGATTTTTTAACTGCAAAAGGATGGCTGAAATTAATCTAAAAAATTATTAAATACTTTTGTATTTGTCAAAGTACTGTAGATGAATAGTGATGTAGAGAATATTAAACAAAATGCAATCGAACAGAAGAAATTAAGAACCCAAGATGCAGATAGGAACTTCTGAAAAAAATGGAATATCAGAAGACCATTTCCTATAAAGTGGATCAGGCGTGGCCTAGTGCTCAGGTTGTGGACCTGAAGATCTAAGGTTTGCACAGCAATGCCACTGAACGCGCTCTGCACTTTCAGTTGTAGGAAGAATTATAAAAAAAAATATCAGTATAAAGAGCTGGAAAAAGCCTTTGTGGTGGCGGTTGCTGCTGACTGGCTGCCTTTCTTTCTGATCAGTAATTCTAAATTAGGGACAACTATACCTCAACCCTGGGGATCACTAATCTGCGCATAAGGTGCCATTCAGACTGAAAATACCAATACCTTATTAAGTGTTTTATAAACCTTATGAAAGTTTAAAGTTTTGCCTTGAACAGGCTCTAAGACTTATCAAAAGGTTTACGAAATTCGATACTTACTCGATCGAGTATTTCTCAAATAAAAGTAAAATTGCAATGTGTTTACCACGTAAAATGTAAGACTTGCATAAACATTAAGAATATTTTAAACGCACATATAAATAATTTACGTTTACTGGTTTTCGAGCTTTTTAATTTCTGTTGAAAATTTAAAAAAAAATGTTATGGACCAATAATACTGCTTTGAAAGGACAATGACATAACAGAGTGACGTCAAAAAAATGTTATGGACCAATAATACTGCTTTGAAAGGACAATGTCATAACAGAGTGACGTCAAAAATTTAAAACTGAGTTCGTACGTATATCTAAATTGACGGAACTTTACTTTTTTTTTCTTAAGGGTAAGATATCCTAAGCCCCTTAGTTTTTACTTAAATTATACATTTAAAAAATCTTAACTGATGAAAGTTTTCAATTACAGTATTTATTTTACTTATATTCTAAAGTTATTCTGGATACAAATTATGGGTACAAATATTGTATAATTCGTTAAACTTATTTTTCTGGTTGTTTTTTTTTGTGTGTATACGTAGAATATCAAAGATTATATTCTAAAGTTATTCTGGATACAAATTATGGGTACAAATATTGTATAATTCGTTAAACTTATTTTTCTGGTTGTTGTTTTTTTGTGTATACGTAGAATATCAAAGATTATATTCTAAAGTTATTCTGGATACAAATTATGGGTACAAATATTGTATAATTCGTTAAACTTATTTTTCTGGTTGTTTTTTTTTGTTGTGTGTGTGTGTATACGTAGAATATCAAAGACCTCATTCATAGCCATAAGCTCCAGAAGGATATTGAATACGCAGTTGTATAAGGAGGGCAGAAATTGGGGTGTAGAACGGGGGTTTCTTTTGTGGATCAAAGTCGAAACTATGTACTCGTGCATCACGTCTTAGTAATCATTGTTTCTCATTGACTATTTTTCTGCATCTGTTTTCACCACACTTAGTCATTGAGGTCTCACGTTTTTGCACCTCAGTCAAGGTCACATAAAAGGAACCCTGTATAGGCGTGATCACACGTTTCATCCGTGCATGCAATCTCGTCACAAAGTTGATATAAAAGATGAAGAATAGAAGTTTAACTCCACCCTGATCTCTTTGATGGTCAATCTTTGTAGCATTTCAACATCACAAGTCCTCCGAAGTCCTCCTACCACACATACATGTTCAAACGACCTTCCTAACAAACGCATACATGTTCAAACGACCTTCCTAAACCTCTGTAGTTAGTCAACTAAAGAAAAGTTGAACCATTTTGGCAGGTTTTTACTGTTTTTGTTGCTCACTTTAATACCTTTGGAGGAATTCTCATCGACGAGCTCTTATTATTTTTCTTTAAGGCCATGTACTAACTAACCTGTCTCGTGGATTTTTAAGTAAGATGTTGTCATCATCTTGCTGGCCTTGGATTGCAGATCTTAACAAATACCTATCGAATATTGACCCTGTCGTTTACCGCTATGGTCACATGGTGTAAGCTTGTTCAACAGGTTTATTAGAACGAGATCAGGCCATTATTATGTTATTGTATCTCTCTACACCTATCTCTCTTGCAAGTTGGATTTTTCTCCTATTATTCTAACTCTCACAAAAGGAAATCAAGAAGCCCCTATATTATCAAAAGCAAATAAGGTTGTTGTTTTTTTTTTTATCAAACCACGAGTAAATGATCAATTCTTCGCAGCAAATAGCAGACACTATTATAATAATGTCGACCTTTCTTTGCATGGTTGGAAACAGCTCAATTTAAAGGTTAAAGACAAAATATTTACTGTTGGCCTAAGTCAAAACTTTCCAGGTAAAGTTAGCTTTAATATATATCCTAGTCTCAGTTAAAAAGCACTATTTGGAATATAATCCACAATCCTCTGTAAAAGGGGTTAACTAGAAACCGGGTTTCGATACCCGTGATGAGCAGAGCACAGATAACCCATTGTGTAGCTTGGTGCTTAACTTCAAACAAACAAACGGGTTTAATGCACAACACAGTTATAGCGGCAATAGCCTATATGGATTTAGTATATCTAAATTGTAAATGCGATATGTTTGTTGGATTCGATTAGTGTTCTCAATATAGAACATTAACTTTATTGTTGTAGTGGCCCATCGTTTCCTGGACGGATTTTATTTTAAGAATTTCAAGATTTTTCATCGGTGTGAGTGAGTTAGTGTTCAGCGCCTAGCAACAACTGCGTTTTTTTTTTTTTTTGTACGTTAGTTGTTTGTTAGTAATGAGCTTTGTGATCTGTCGGTGGCTCCGGGGAGATTTTACTGTAGAACTCTCCATAAAAGGAAGTGCAGGGATACAAGGGCTCGTCCCCTTATCCTAAAGGAAGTGTTAAATTATGTCTTCTTCAGCATTCCTTTTCCTTCTTTTTTTTTAAGACTCATTCCACCCTCCTTCTCCCCATGGCGTTGGAATTTTTTGTACCAAATTATCTTTTTAATTACTTCTACGGTCAGCCATTGGCAAATTCGTATATGAAAATACGAATAAACTCATAGAACTGTCTAACTGTAAAGCGTTTTTTTTTTAATTCGCGTTTATAATGGAAATAAGGTTTCTATGACAAAGTGTGTTATTTGTTATTACTTTCAAGATTGTTTCGCTCTATTCATGATTTTTTTTTTCAGGACTGTCTACGTCACTGTTTAGAACAGATTGAAGAGATGATTGCTGCAGATATAACTCCTACACAAACGTCACCTATGGTGTCTCTTAATGGAAATGGGAGCAACAATAACAAGATGGCAGACAGCAGTGGACTAAAGCCAGCAGACAGTAAACCAGAAACACCAACTGACGTTCAGGATGTTCATTTTTAATCAACTAGTTTATTTCCTCACAGAATTGTTGAATGCAAGGAAATGCCAATGCTGAAAAGTCAACTTAGACAACTATGGTGCTGCCATCTGTACTAACAATGCTGTACCTATGTTGCTAGTCACAGGGTTTGAGCTGAAAGTGACATTTCGTAGCACATTCTTAGATACTTAGCTTTCAAAAAAAGACCCGAAGAAAAACATGAAAAACTACAAATTAGGATTTTTTTTATTTCCTATTTTAAATCGATACAGTTAATGTGGCGCTTTTGATGTTCTTATAGGCTTAAATTTTAGCATCTTATCGAAGAAGAACAAAACATTTTTGTGTATGTTTCTCTTTTTGTACAGTTGAATATTCTACAGTGTACAATTGTATTACTACGAGACTCTTATAATCCGACTTTTGCATAATTATTTGCGCATTGTTAAGCTAGTGGAACGGGTACAGCTGTTGTCATTTTTCTGGAACAAAGGTATTTTAATTGAACTAGTTGTGTACATTAATGTAATTAAGATTAAAAGAAAAGTTGGATGTTGAGCAAAAATGTCAGAAGTGGAAGTTAATGAAAGAAATAACCGTCAGCCTATTTTTAATGCGTGTTAAAGAATTATAACGCATCCAGAGACTTCCAATGGGTTAACCTTTGATGATGTGTGATATTTTGATTTGTACCGGGCGCTTTCGTAAGAACATAGAGTTGTACTTAATTCTTAAATTGGATCTATACGGTTTTTTTTTAAGTGGTTTGATTGTGATTTGGAACTTATAGTGGTCAGAATAAGAATTATTAAAGAAAAATACGAATTTATTTGACCGAGTTTGCAGACATTTAGTGACGAAAGTTACTTTGGGGTCATTTAACTTTTCCTACAGGAATATTTTGAAGTTATTAAATGACTGAACGTTTTGTATCGTATCGTAATATTTTGAATACGATTATCGAATAGTGATTTTGAAAGCACGATAGTGTATTTGAATATCTAAACAAAATGTCGTTGTTTGTTTCTTTGTAAACTATGTTAACACGGTTACGGTATATACCACTGACTTTTTTTTTTAGGGTCTTAATTTAGTCAAATAACAATAGTCAATATATTTCAGTAGGTACTATTTTTTGCTTACGTATAACATGCTTTCCAATTGTTAAGGAACTTTTGAAGGATGAGAATTGTTTTCAAAGTTCCCCAAAACATCAGCGCATTGATACAGTTGGAAATCATATGTATTAAAGAGTTATCAATCTAGTCTTTATACAATTTTACTTTATTGAGAGTTGTTTGAAACAAACTTCTCGCCATCTGTGCAAAATTGCTATTTTTTTAGCTATAAGACGATCTTTATGAGGGTATAAATATTTATATAACATTGTCGTTAACTCGCTACCACTTGCGCAACCACGTGACTTAACTATCCTTTTCTGTTCATACATATATATATATATATATATGTTATAAAAATCAAGTTAAATACATAGTATTTCTTTTTTGTTTCCACGTTGCTCGCAACTTGACCATTGCGGCTCAAAACCACAGGTTTGTAAAAAATAGTATTTCAGATCTGTATTTTGTCTCCCACACGTCGTTGCCTAAGAAGCTTTTCGTTCAGTACCAGAACTCATCAGTTGAGATAGTCGACGAGGGACAAAATACTCTATTAAACGCTATTTATATATCATATTACATATATTTAAATAATAAACGATTTAGAAATAGTTTGGACACGGCCAAGAATTTTTTATTTCAGTCATAAAACAAAAGGTGTCGCTGTTAGTAACATAAGGTTGAACGGAAATTAATTTACTTTATTAGTTAAGTAAAGTTATCCTTTGAAAAAAAAAAGTCTCAGGTAATTCGTAGTAGAATGAAATCAATCCTAGTTGCTTCATTACTTTCAAAACAAACACCAGTCATTTTTCAGCTTTAGATAAATAGATTTGAAGATTAATAATCACAGTGATTGTTATTTTTTTGCTTACCTTTTCTTTTTTTCGCTCCATTGATTCAGGGAATCACAGTATAACATAAGCGCGGTGGTTGTGTAAGGGCATACCTTAACCTCAGTATACATATACAGCTCTCAGGAACAGTTACTATAGAAATATCTGGTGTAACATATTATCTGTTGAATATTATACACGCCTCCCACAGGAGTTTGTTTTTCCAAATGCCGTATTTATTTGTATTTCTCATTTCAAGACCAGCATAATTCAGTACTTAACCTAGCTACATTTCACTGTCTCCCCTCCCCCCTTCCAGCCTGGATGTGTAAGAAGAGAACAACAATATGGCTGAAGATTTTCTGGGTTTGAATCTTGATTGAATAGTGGCAAACTTTTATAAGATTTATTTCATATCGTTAGGCTGTTCACGGTAACTCGTAATTATCACTCGATGCTAGGTCGCATGTTAAAGTTTAGCTTTCAGTTTCGATTTTATTTGTGTTGTAGTTTTGTTTTTATTATTATTATTTTATGCTGAATAAATGTTGCTTTTAATAAAAAAAAATGTTCAATGTTGTTGCGTATCACTAACCTAGTAAATTATATATTTGTGAGTAATTATTTTACTCACGTTCTTTGAATAAGATTGAATATTGGTGTAAGTTTAATTTTAAAATACGATTCAAAACAAAATTGTTCCAAATCAATACGTAAATCACTGTTTGTCGTATTCTTTGTACAACGCAAATATACGGAATTCGATTTTCCACGGCATATAACCATATATGGCTTTGCCATAAAATACATACACACACACTTATTCTTTAAATATGATTTGTTCCATCTTTTCATCATACGAGGCGATTCATGAACAGGGATAAGGTAATGATTCCGTCAGATCGCATTCAAGGTGTGTTTTATTAGAACGAAAAACTATCTTAATATGATAATACGAAAATTTTAATACACTGCTGTATATTCTCACAATAAGGTGCAGAGGATTTAGTAAGGTATTATAAAATTATCTTGAATATGCAAATCAGCACGATTGATATAAAGTGGCGATGGAACGGAATGTATCAGAACTACATTTTTATATTGGAATTCTTAGGTAATGTGAATGCAACTAAAAATTGATCGCTTTTGGGTAAGAGTATACAACAATTCTTTCCGAAGGCAAACAATCATACACTCAGATCAATCAGGGATTTAGAATTTCTAAGACGAGGATATTCCCTCTACTTAATGGCATTGATAAACAAAGGAATATGGATCAACTTGGTGACCCAGGATCACCCAAAAAGAGAAATGCAACAAGTCGTACCTCACCCATGATAAGCAAGGTGCGGCCTCTTGTAACAGGTGAGAATACTCAAAAACAAAGGTAAGTGGCAAAAGCTGTCCGCGTGTCCAAAATTAAGAAGAATCTCTGGCTAGAAAAGCGACACAACTTGCTCTCGCAATATATCTGTTACACCGTCGTATATCTCAAACAGCTGAAGAATAAAACTAATATTCATGCTATTTCATATAAAGGCATGTGGACTTCTGTGAGTTTGAACCACTGAAAATGGCGCTTGGTGTCATCCTCGTACACTATATGGCTTATGGAAAACATGCAGAGAGTAGTGGTGTGATTTTGACATGACGGAGCCTTTTACAATGTAGACCACGCGTGGCGACATGAACTATAACGACGTGGTGAGGCTCCAAAATTCTTTTAATATAATTTACTCAACCTCTGTATAAGCAAATAGAGTGCTGTCGTCTTAGAAATTAGGTAATAAACCACTTTCGTCAACTGTAAATTTTAATTCTGCAGTCAACAGATCTGAAAAATCTCCAGTACCGTAGTTTTTAACCCGTAATCCGCCGACTCTAAACTAGAATTGTTTGTAGAAATTATTATAAAGTCAAGGTCAAAATAAAGTAATGATTTTGTCAAATAATAGAAATAAAACAAGCCCAAATGCTAAATCTCAGTATAAACTGTGACACCATACCTAAAACAACGCTACACTAAAGACCATCACGCCTTCTAACATAGATTATAAAATTTTCAAATTTTCGCCAACTATATTAGCAACAGAGTTGTTTGGCCGTGACAACTAATAATTTCTCTTTTTTTGATCTAAAAAAGTGCAGCTTCAAAGATAACACAATTAAATGAAATAAAATGTTGAACATAAACATAAGCAGTCAGAGTGAATGTTAAAAGGCATTTTCCCACAGAAATACCTCTCAGTTCCGGAGTAAGATGGGGGAGTGTCTTTTTTTATCGCTCACCATTTCTGTCCTGCTAATCTCTATAGATCAATGCCAGAAAAAATTAAGGGTATCCATAACTCCAGGCAACTCAATAAAAGAACAGAAAATCATGGCGTATGCGGATGATATTACTCAGACCTTGTGTTCCAGTTAAGTTATTCAGAACAGTTGATTAGTGTATAGGTTTTTATTATAATGACTATAATGCGCATTCACACCAACAATTGTTTGAGTTGATTACGTTACTCTGACCCATTGTGTAGCTTTGTACTAAAAAAACAATAACAACAATTTCCAAGAAACTAAACAAACAGTAAACATTTGTGTGGTAATTTATTGAAAGTCACAATGTTTTTATTAGTGTAGTTTCTATTTATTACTGTAGTCCTATAAACTTTTGTGTGATAATTTATTGAAAGTCACAATGTTTTTATTACTGTAGTCCTATAAAAATTTGTGTGACAATTTATTGAAACTCACAATGTTCTTAATGTAGTTCTAAATTAGTAGATATATATGTTTGCTTCCTACAAAACCAAGCACTCTGAAAAGCTGAAAGTACACGTGTGAATATTACCCGCAGAATTGTAAAATACACATTAGCATGAAGTGATCTCAAAAGATGTATAGCTACTCATAAAGCACTGTTTATAGGAGACATGACCAAACCAAAAAGGTGAAATGGGCATCAAACTTCAAACAATGGGATGAGCAAAGCTGGAGGTAGGTACTCTTTACAGACGAATCTAAATTCCAGTTATTTGGCAATAATCAATGCTAGTTTGTTCATTGACAGACCCCCTCCCCTCAGTGGATCAGTACTCGTGAAGTAAAGAGCACTCATATCCCATTGAGAAGCTTTGCGATTAACAACAAATTAGCCAATCGTTGACGGAAAGAAGAAAGGTATCATAACCAATGTACAAATACAGTAAAACATGTTGGGAGACCAATACAACTGTGGGCTGGATAACAGCCAATGATGTAGGAAATCTACACAAAATTGATGGCACCCTGACTGTTGACAGGTACAATTTTATTATTCTCCGTCATAGCATTCCCTAAGAAACAAGATCTGTTACAAAACAGTGATCTTAATCATGTAGCAGATATGATGAAAGAATACCTGAAAGGCTGACAGAACTCTCCCTACTGTGGCTTGCACAAAGTCTAGTTTGAATATTATTAAGGTTGTATAGACTTATATGAAAACTGAAAATGTTAGATGGCAACTAAACAAATTGGTTGAATTGTGGAGAATAATACGGGAGATTTTGAACAATATTTTACAATCATATGTTGATGAACTTATGGTAGCAAAAACCAAAGTGTAGTGATCTGTTTAAAACAAATACAAACTACTATCGCATTATACAATATATTCGTTTTTATTTGATTTATTCTGACCTCTTAGTTGTTATTACTCATTCTTTGTGATTTCTGTATGTGTATTACCTGTGCTTTTCCATTAATTATTTCCAATACTGTGCCTAAACCAAAGAGAGGCGAGGGATGGCAGATGCCACTAAAAAGTTTAGTAAAAGCTACATCTCCCAGAATACAATGCCTTCTGTTACTAGGGGGACACTATATAAGGAACCCCATCCAACAAACATTATCCAATACCTGGTTAGCCATCTTGTCTTTGCAGCCAATCACAGTAAGAATTAAGAAACTTTCGAATCTACTCAGTCATCTTAAAACGTGATCACCTGAGTCCAGCGAGTAAATTAATCTGGAACCTTGGGCCATAACAACCGCTAAAGAAGGTGCCTATGATATTGGACGAAACTGTTTAATCTTATAACTTATTAAAACATTTCCTTATTTAATATATATGCGTTATGAGCTTGTTTAAGCCATTCCATGGAGTCATAATTACATTTTTAAATGTTCACTTGAGCTTAAGAATTTTATATTAATTTAATTATTTAAGTAATTAATTTGCAAATTCAGTGTGATATCTCAATGAGAAAATGCGTAAAATCAATAAAAAACCATGAACAACGGACAGGTTTTTGTAATACAGGTTGACTATCACTAGTCCGGCAATCAGTAATCCGGCACTAATTTCGGCTAGAAATTAGTGTACCTGTGCCTGTATTTCACTAAATTTTTCACTTGAATTTATTTGATAATTATCTTTTCTTTATTAATCAACTTGTAATGTTTTATGGGATATTTTAATTTTAAGATGAGGTGGTTAGCTAGTGGGTTTGGTGTATTCTAACCTAATAGATGGCTAATCCGGCAAAATGGCTAATCCGCCACCCTCCAGGTCCCGATGATGTCGGATTAGTGATAGTCAACCTGTATTAATAAAAACATTCTGCAGTTTAGAGCCTCTTAATTTATCTTCCATAGGTTTCTTTACACTTGCCCCTCAATGACTCAGTGGTAACTCTGAAGGGTTATAACGTTAAAAACCAGGTTTCGATCCCCGTGATGGGAACAGGGCAGATGACCCATTGTGTAGCTTTGCGCTTAACAAAAAAAAACAAACAAACGAAACCTTCCGTTTATCCTAAAAAAAAGAACCTTCGTCCCCAAGCCCATTTGTCTGCCATTCCCTCGCCTTCTCATTTTCATAATCATGGAGCAACCACCATTGTATACATGTTGTAAGATTAAGCGTGATGATACTTAATAAATAAATAAATTGCAAATCTATGTATTTAATAAGTTAACGTAGTTATCATTAACGTCGTCATCATTTATTGTTAAAAATTCACTGTAATACAGCTATGTTGCTAGTAGTAAATTTAACACAGTTACAGTTTTGGGGTGTATTCATAGACATACAGATCACAAGACAAAAGAGATAGTTATCTCTAAACAATTAATTCACTAATTAGACCTGACTTGGAATACTATATACAATTTTGGTTTCCTTATCTAAGAAAGGGTAATCCTTTATTGGAAAGAGTTCAGAGGGGGGATGGGGAGGGCTGCTAGTCTAATATATTAAAAAAAAAATAGGCTAGGCTTCAGTTAAGACAGTATTATTTTTGTAACAGGGTAATTGGCTTATGGGATGAATTGCCATCTCCAGTAGTGGAGGCCGGCACTGAAATATAAAGGGTGGTTTTAAATTTTGATTTTTTCAAGCAAGGATGGTTCTAGAATTTCACTGTTGGGTGAGAGAGGTGACAAATGGGAAACTTGTGGTCTCTGGATACGGTGACATTTTAAAGATCGCATGTTACTTGTCAGTCCATGTCAGTGAAATAACTCAGCAAACAGAGGCAGGAACATACAGCTATATTTTTCACTGCTTAATTGTAGATAACTTTGAACGCTTTTCTTTTATGTGTGTGTGTGTGATTTTGATTAGAATTTGTGGCCACCCTGATGACCGCTAGGGGGTTACCTCTGCTAACGTTGTGCCTGTTCTCATTTGTCAGCGTGTAAGGGTATCCTTGAACTTTAAAGAACAAAATGGTCTTTTGTTGTTCGTATGTTATGCTAGCTTTATGGTTTTATATATATATATATATATTTTAAAATGCTTATGAATTTTATATAGATATATCGTTTTTTGTAAATGAACGCATTATATAATAAATGGAATAAATATGAAAGCTTTTGGACATGAAAACAATGTGTAATTTATTTAATCTAGACTACATACAAATATACTTTATAGCAAACAGCAATAGATTGAAAACCAGTCAAGCGAAATAATTCAGCACTAACGTTTTCCGTCTTTCTTAAGAATGCAAGTATCATGTTTTTTTGTATTAAATTTATGCCGAAAGGAAACATGGGAAAGGATTTCAAACTTTTATGCTGTTTATGATTATGATGGCTTTGACAGTACACAGTAGGCGTTTACGGTGACTTTTTTTGTATGAGTAAGTGGCCAGAAAAATTACTTTCTTATTAGTTGACAGTGGTTAACATCGGCGTTTCCTTGAGATACTTATAAAACTTAAATTACTCATGAAAACTGAATAAATAATATTAAAAAGCAACATATTAATACTACACTTGAAATTTAGCCAATAACTTGCACAGTTTAGCATGTATTTAATAATTTATGGCCTAATATGGGCATAGTATAGTACTAGTACTGATAGTAGTAAGTTACGCTAATGCAAAAGCAGTTGGTGGCACTACGGACACATGAATAAGTGTTCTAAAGCAAACTTATAAATTACATGATATTGATATTAATACTATCATTGATAGGTTAATATATATCGGTAGTGGTATTAATAATGATAGCTGTAAGTTTTATATAACTCGTGATTTTATAGCAAGGTTGTATCATCAGGATGTTTACCAATACCTTGTGTCTAATAACTTAAATAAGTTTGTAATTCACCGTTAGGCATTATATTTATATATGTATTGAGCAATTTTTATTCGTGCAAGAATGTGTGGCACAGTTTCTGTGTTGGCAAATTACATTTGGAATAATATTAATAACTGAATATTTTAATAGTTGATACATTTATAATAAGGGTGCGTCTGTTTCAGTATTTGACAATTCCTTACCCTTGTTAACCGAGGTAATCACACAGTTTTAGTTTTTACTATTATGTGTTTCCTGTGCATAATGTGTGTGACCAGACGTCCTGATTTCGGCGGGACAGTCCAGTTTTTGAGTTGCCTATCCCGCTGCCCCCCATAAACTTTGGGGGATGCGAGAATGACCCGTTTTGGGAGATAATGAACTTAAATGTCCCACATTATCAAAATTAATGCTGGTAAACACTACTGTACTATGACTGCACAAAAGGTTTGGCCTGTCCTCATATAATATTCTTCATTTTCATATATTAATGTTCAAACTGAGTTTGGTGTCCCATTTTGGACTCCAGAAAATCTGGTCACTTCACCTGTGCAGTAATTATTAAGTTTTACCTGTATTAAGTAAAAACATCTTGTGTAATAGATTTAATATTGTAAGCACCAGTGACAAGTACTCAACGGTAAGGAAAGCATATAACACTAAAAACCAGCTTTCAGTACACATGAGGACACATCACAGATAGCACATTGTGTAGCTTTATGCTTAACAGCAAACAAACAGATCTTTCCTGGCAGTTGTATACCAAACTCTCCATTAACTCATTCCATGTTAAATTTGTAATAAACACAAAATGTCTCAAGTAAAATACCTCGCATTCATGGGGTTGTGGATAAATTGTTTCAACTTAAGAATAACTAAGATTTTGATTCATGTTTACCCAAAACTAAAAAAAAAACTAAACCTTTATGATTTTGTAAACAAGTGCTTGATAATACTGATTGTTATTAATGAGTTTTGCTCAAACCTGACCCATATTACTAGAGAAATGCCCCAAGGGTCAGTGCATGGGCCCTTTCTTTTTCTTATTTCTTAGTCATTTAATAAGAAAAGTTTGAGGAAGACATAAAACTTTTGGATATTTTTAGCTGTGTTGACGTGCTAAAGAATGAAGAATAAATTGGCTAGAGTTTTTCAGTGCATCTTTTAGGTGTATTAAAAATAGTCACTTATGTTTCAACCATTTGAAATAATGCTTGCACTTCTGTTGTAACTAAAAATCATTTGCACAGTTTTGAACTGTCTTCATAACATTTAAGGATAACAAGGGGACTGTTGTCCGCTGAGGCTGTCCAATCCACTGAACTTTAAAAAAAAACTCCCAAAGTTAGCTCTTATCATTTGAATATAGATATTAAGCCGTCCCATAAATTTTCTTAAATTTATTCCATCCACTACGTTTGAAGGCAACCTATTCCAAAGGTCAACCACGCTGTTAGAAAAATAAAACTGTATTAACTGAAGGTGACTCCTAATTACCAAAATTTATATTTGTGTCCCCTTGTCTTATCACTGTGAAAAAAAAGATGATGCATTGACACTATCAATTCCCTTAACAATCTTAAACACCCCAGTCAGATCCCCTGTAACTATTTTTTTTAAGAGAAAATTTCAGAGATCTTAAACTGTCCTTGTGTGATGACCTTTGAATCTCAAATGTCATCTTAGTAGTTCTCCTTTGAATTATTTCCATCAATTCAATTCCTTCTTAAGGTATGGAACTCAAGCCTGAACATAATACTGCAAATCAGGTCTACCAAGTGACCTATACAATAAAATAACCTTTTTAGATTTACATTCAGTATTTCTGTAAATTCAATCTAAATTGCTATTTGCCCTAACACTAGCAAGAGCAAACTGCTAGGATGGCTTAAAGAGACTGGTGAATCAAAATGCCAAGATCCTTTTCTTCCATAACACTCTTAAGGTTATTCTCATAAAAATTTAGATTATGTTAACCCACATGCATTACCTTACTTTTATTATAATTAAAAGCCATCTATCATTCATTTGCCCAACCCACCAAATAATCTAAATCCTTTTGTAAAGCAACAGCATCTTTATCACAGCAAGCAACACACAAGACGTTAATATTATTAGCAAATTTAAGCAGTTTATTGCCCATTCATTCATTTATGTTATTGGTGCTCATTGTAAATCAAAAAGACGAAGGTCCAAACACTGAACCCTTAGGTACCTAGCTTGTGACATTAATTCAATTTGACTGATCTCCATTTGTAACAATGTTCTTCTTTATTCCTTCAGCAGTGTTTTGATCCAACAAGCCAGCTTATCCACCTATAGAGATAATTTTTAACAAGCCTACTTTTACTTTATCATTATTATTATTTTGAATATTATTAGTTTATGAATTAATGTTTTACATGTTGAAGAGCATATAACACTTTTTCCAGCATATACTTGGTGTAGATAAAAGTAAACTTGTCAAATGTTCTGAAAATCCAAGTATGTCAAATCCACACCCTTACCCTCATCTACATAAGCAGTTAATAATTTTATTAGTAGTTCCTGTTTGGAATAGCAAATGTGTTGTGTTGAACAAAGTATTCTATAGTGACTCTTCCCTCTCTTTACATTTGTAAACTGTACTTAGATCTTTTTTGGGTTATATTATGATTGAAAACTAATATTTTTCTTTCTTCTCCGGAAGCTACTGGTTGCCATAGGATGGAGATGTCATTGGTGTGTTACACATGATGTACTACTGTGGTATATGCACTGTTATAATTCAATTGATCAGCCTTATTGAAGCATCAGTTATAACCTTTCCATTCTACCAAGAAGAACATAATAGAAATCTAGTCAAAACAGTTGATATGACTGTGGGAGGAAACTTTGATGATGGTTATTATGTCTCTGTTAACATAGGTACACCTCCACAAAAGGTAAATCTACATCTAATGTGTAATGAAGTTGAGAATTAAATTCTATAGCTCTTTTGGATTGTTTTGTGGTAATGTATATGTAGATTTTTTTTATTACTTGTACATTTAAGACATTTTATTTTAACTTAAATTCAGAGATACGTTTACTCTGTGGTTTTTCGTATAGACAGAATAGTGGCTAACTGAACTTAACTGGATTTTTACTACAAAGAAACTTATTCTGTATAATTTAGAAGTTGAAAAATATACAAAAAGAGAAAAAACATGAAACTTTGATTCATCTAAAATATTTTTTATATGATATGAAAAGCATGTTTTATAAAACATAATGAAACTTCTCAGATATGGAGGAAACCAAAAAAATGACTTAGCATCTCAATACTTATTTATACAATTAGGGTTTAATCTGGGTCTTAAGATGAGACTGTTAAAATTATTAATAGTAAATTTAAAAGATGTAAATGTGATTTTTAGAAAATGTTTTGTTTGTAGTTAAGCACAAAGTTACATATAAGCCATCTGTGCTGTGGCCATCACAGGTCTCAAAACCTGATTTTTAGCATTATAAGCCTATAGACTTATTGTTGAGCCAGTGGAAGGAATTCTAGGAAATAGGTGTGTACATTGATAAACTGATAATACTGCTATGATTCTTTATGTGGTTAATAAAATAATAGTATAAGTGGAAAATTTTAGGTCTTTAAAAAACACTGATGTGGTGGACTTAGTCGATAGATATCTGAAGAAATCACAATTTATAAGTTGTTATTTTTTAAAAAAATTTTCTTTACGTGTACAATATTTCATATCAGTATATTATCAAGTACACAAAGCTTAGGCTAAAATCTAATGCAACTTCTACTTTAAATAATGGTCTACCAATGAAAACGTAGTTCTATAGAATTTTTATAATGTTGAAGGGCAGTAATGTGTATGTATACGTATCAGGAGTTTGGTTAGGTTGGAAATCATCTGAGGAAAGGGCAATTAAAAATTATACCTTGATCTTTATTAATAGTAGGTTTGTGAGATTTAATTAGCTAGGTTTCTATAATTCTGGTCCTCTGGCGATACAGCAGTAAGTCTTTGTATTTACAATGCTAAAATCATGGTTTGATTCCTCTCGGTGGACACGGCAGATAACCTAATGTGGCTTTGCTATAAAAAAACACATATGTTCTAATTCTGATTTTATTAATATCTGGTTAATGATTTATTATGGTGAAGGTTTTGACAGAAGAATTGTGATTATTTCTCTCATGTATTCATGCACACGAGAGGGAGGATTTTGGTGTGTGTTTAATTTGCGTCCTGTCTCACCTCTGTAAAAAGCCATGGCAGTTGTTGCATTTATTTTGTGAATGCTGGAGGGTTGGTTTTTATTGTATAGTTTTCTTAGTATGTATTTGATTTTTATTCCTGGAGTGAACAGAAATCTAGTTCTTATTATGTCAGTGTCATGCTTTCCTGTTAACTTTTTCCAGAATTCTACAAGGTTTTGGTAATATTGTCCACAAAAAAGAATGGTGATTGTAATTAGACTTGGTAGATTTGGATGTGTGATTTTTGGATTTATCTGTCTGTTAAAATAGTCTTGTCTGTGTTTTTTGAACTCACAGCTTGAATAAAAATATGTGTGAATGGAATTAGTGTTTATCAATATTGTTGTTAGTACATATGGTATATGGGTGGTATGCAGGCTCTGTGTGTTCCATGCATGTTAGTTGAAATGGATAGTTTTTCAAAGTTTCTGTGCATATTGAGTATTTTTGTCTTAGTATAGAATGTTGGTAATGGGAGCTACTAAATTCCTTTCATCCTAGCTACTCATGGAACTAGATCAGCTAACAAGGGTGACATGTGCTTTCTCATAGGAAAGACTGATCTAACACAGTGCATATTCTATAGAAAGCTACCATAATTTTTTCTACTCATTTCTAATTTTCTAGAACTTGTACTAGAGAAACTATGGTAGTAATAAATGAAATATCTGTGAAACGTACAGTTGTTTTTGTTTTACAAAATTTTTTATCACATCTGTTTCCAACACACACTCACCTTTCACTTTGCTGTTTGAGTAAATAAATATTTTTTTTACTGTGTACAATCTTGTTTCTAGTCATTTCCTTTATATTAGGCTTAATTGAGCTCAGAGAATGATTTCTGCTTAAAGTATATTTTCACCCAAATATAGCTTATGCTGCAGTTCTTATCTAATTATTGGCAAAGAAATCAGTGAGTCTGAGAATACCACGTATGCTAAGTTTAAGAGAACTTTTAATGTGGCTAACACTTGGTAAATTATAGTGTTAGAAAATCAGTTTATGTAGTTTACACAATTTTCCTTTTGGATTTCTGTGATGAAACCTTGTGGGGGGTCAGATAATGTATTTAGAAAATGTATGCATCGTGAAGTTATTTTCACTTTCAACAGTGTTTTCATGTATGTTTATGCGCTGGAAGAATAGTGTTTATTCTCTTCTTTGTTTTAAAAGCCACAGAAAATATCGTCTACATATCGTGTAAGGATGTGTTTATGGCATGTTGTTCAGTATGATATAGAAAAAAGGGTAGCTAATTTATGTGATAGAGGACTATTCGTGGTGAGTCCTCGTAGCTGTAGTGAGTATGAGTCTTTGTACTGAAAGCAAGTGACTGTAGCAGGTTGTGAAAATTTGAGTAAGTGTCCTGATTTCTCATTAATTCCCTTTTTTTTGAGTCTTGTAAGTTTTTTTTTGGTAGGGGGGTTTGAAGGAATAAATTTACACCATTGAAGCTATGTATAGTAATATTACTATTTAGGTTGTGCAAATGTTTAAGGAAGTGTGAAGAGATTTTTATTTGCAAATTTATTTTAGAAATATAAAGTGCCAGTATCTAGTTAAAGCATTTGCTAAGATTACAGTTAAAAGAGTTTTAAAAGTTTAAAAGGACATGATTGGGGTTCTTATTGACTTTAGGTAGACCATAGATTTTAGGTGTTCTTGGTGGGCTTGTGTGTAAAAAACTAGTGAAATATATGGTTTATTCTTTTTAACATTATTTGAGTAATTTTATTATAGGTAAGGCTTAAGTTGGTATTTGATTGGCTAAGTTTTTATTTTTCATTTGTTGTACTTAATATTAAGGAACTGTATTGTTTGATCATTAGAGTTACTATAGATATGCCTTTAGCAGCTTTATGGATAACAATGTGTTAGTTGTTTCTCAGAAGTTTTAAGTTGTTTATGTCTGGTGGCATTGATTCTGTTGTGTGTTAGTTAGTTTTTAATCATTTCGAAGCTTTTTCACTAAAATAATCTAAAAAATATTAGTGGACTAGATTTTGGTTTATTTGGGTAGTTGTTTGTTAAGGCATTATTTTATGGAATCTTGAAAATTTCTGGGGATCCATCTTCACTGATTTTGGGTGAATTAGATGAGGTTTCTTGTTTAGTTCTTGAAGATGGACTTGGTTGGTTGGATTTGTAATTTGACTGTATTATTAGTTTCGTGGAAAGGTCCCCAAAACTTGTTTTTAATTCTAAAATAGAGATAGCAATGAGAGTAATTATATAATTAAGACCTTTTGTTTAAGGGTGTGGTTTGAGCTGGGGTTTTTTGTCCTAAGTTCTATTAATTGTAAGGTCTTTAAGGTAAGTGTTGTTTTGTATTAAAGTTAGTTGAAAGGGAGTTATAGTCTTCAGGAGTCATAAGATGTGCGAGGTTGTTTTGGAAATTGAACCCTTTTTGTGTGGAGAAAACTCAGATTTATAATTTGTTTCAATACTTTTTGTATGATTTTTTTGTATTAATTTTGAGGTTTAATCTTCAGGAATGTCCATATTAATTTTTATTTTTTACAGATTTGTAGAAAGGATATATTTAAGGTTTTTTGTTTTGTTTTGAATAGAATTGAATTCATTTTTTCCTAACTCACCATAGCATAGTAAGATCCTTTCAGTAAGAGTTATGATGACGGATAATATGGTTAGGTTTAGCTGATTTCTGTGGAATTCTGCAAGACACTGAAGTTTGGTGTTGTTCCTTTTAGATTGTGATGTTGATATATTGTCTCTTGAAAGAAAGGAGTGGGTTGTGGAAAATGTAAAATAAGATCAGTTTCAGCGAATAAGACACAAAAGAAACTTGAGAAACTTATCTGACATTTTCCACAACTCTCTCGTTGATATAGAGAAGCAATAGATGAACGTCACGACCTGTTATTTGTTGTGTCTGTTGCTAGGTGTGAATAGCTACTGATATGTGTTTAAATAACTTGAATTGATTTTAATTGATTCAGTTAGCTCACATGATTGATAGGATGAATTAATAGGTCTACTTGTGGAATGACTTGGCATGCACGAGATTACAGGGACAATTAGTAAGGGAACAAAAGAAAAAAATCATGTTCATTACCTTACAGAACCTTCTTGTATTTCAGACTTTGTCTCAAAAAAAGTTTCATTGGTTCTTGTTTTTCAAAGTTGGTAGGTATGCAGGAAAAAATATTGACTAGTCTTACAGTAGTAGTCCTACTGCCTTCGTGTGATTTTAACAGTTTAATTAGGCTGTGCTAGTTCTCAAGTACCTTCTATCTTTTATTGAACTCTACTCTTCCAGTTGCACTGCAGTTGATACAGTGACTGACATAACATATATATATCACATATTACCAGCTTCATCCATTGATTGTCACTAGTCAAGTGGTATTAGCTATAGCCATTAATTATCAGTTTAACCATCAAGTAATTGACTTGTTTTTATATGTTGTTCACTACTAGTGAAGGTTCTTATTGCTTCATGGTAATCTGTATTTTAACCTATTACAACACTCAGAAAAAACTGGAAGTCACTTATTTTCTGTGTAAAACACATAGTTGGGTTAATTACAATATCTATGATATTTTCGTTTAAATTTTTTTGTATTATTCGTATGTTGTTAGGGGCTGTACAAGTTGTTTTTTTTTTACTCGTATGTTATTAGAAACTCTGTAACCAACAAAGTCATGGACATAGAAGTAACTTGGGATATAAATACTAAACAGTTAAGAAAAGTGCATTTAAAAAGCTTATGGGATTTAGGTGGACATATGTTGGTAATGCTGAGGCTAATGATGTTATACAAGCACTCATAACCATGTGGTAACGGTTAAATGAATCCTGCGATCATGTAATTATTTGTCACAGTAGATAATTGCATGGCACTGGTTATTACTATTGGAAAGTGTATTATCAATTAGTAGTATCATTGAGAATGAGTAAATACACGTGTGTGAAGGCCAAGTGTGTGTTTGTGTATGGTGGGGGATAAAAATAAAAGCTCTATATGTAGGTTTTTCAAATATGTCTCTGTATTTTATAAATTTTGATTCAAGGATATTTTGTTTTAACTTTACTATTCTGTGAAAAAATTAATGTTTTAGCATTTTCTTTGAAGTTTAGGGGTTTTTGACAGTTTACCATGTGTATTTTATAATTTTACCATGTGTATGTTATAATTTTACCATGTGTATGTTATAATCTTACCATGTGTATGTTATAATTTTACCATGTGTATATTATAATTTTACCATGTGTATGTTAAAATCTTACCATGTGTATGTTATAATTTTACCATGTGTATATTATAATTTTACCATGTGTATATTATAATTTTACCATGCTTATATTATAATTTTACCATGTTTATATTATAATTTTACCATGTGTATGTTATAATTTTACCATGTGTATATTATAATTTTACCATGTGTATGTTATAATCTTACCATGTGTATGTTATAATTTTACCATGTGTATATTATAATTTTACCATGTGTATGTTATAATTTTACCATTTGTATGTTAATATTTTACCATTAGTATATTATAATTTTACCATGTTTATATTATAATTTTACCATGTGTGTGTTATTATATAGATGCTTTATAATTTAATTTTGCTGTCATATTCATTGTTTTTGTTTTTATTTCAGGTATCTTTATTAATTGATACGGGCAGTAGCAACTTGGGAATCGCAGCTTCAGCTGCTTTACATGTCAGAAGTTATTTTCAGTTAAATAAGTGAGTTGATTTTTTTCTGATTCAATCATGCAGTAAGAAATAATATACAGAAATATATATATATATTATTAATATTTTGTATCCAGTGATGGTTATTTTGTTATAAAACACCATAAGAATTGTTATAACATAATCTTTCTTCATGTTAACCAAAGTACAGCCCCTATTTCTAAACAACAGTAATTGCTTCCATTATTTTCCGATATGCCAATGAGCTTTTTTTTCTGGAAATTTTCGGGAAAAAAAAGAAGATAAAACTTAATTTATAAAGAGCAATGTTTCGGGGGTTAGCATAAATATAATTGTATGATAATTTCTATCAGAAGAGGTGATAAAAATTTACAATAACAATTAATATTAAATAGTCTTCATTATGAGTATGAGACAAACTACAAAAAGCAGCAAGTCAAGACAAATAAATTATTTTTACTTTGAAATAACTTTCATATCTCATCCCTACATGTCTCAAAGTGCATTGCATCCACACACACCCCAGCTGGTATTTCAACACTGTTGTTTTCATATCTGCTTCTGCTTCCCTTTTCTCATCATAGATCAGGTAGTCCCATTTTTATCTTTCACTGTTTTGATTTCATAAGCATGTCTTTTATGTTCTTCGGCAGTTTTTTGCTGATTCTTGGACTCCCTTTTTGCTTGAGCCTCTTTCACTTGGATCTTTTCTTTCAGTTTAAGGATCTTATTTTTCCTTTCTTTTTCGTTCTCTCTATCTACTCATCTTCATCTCTTACTCAACTTCAATGTTCATTGTCATGCTTTACATTCGTTTGGAAGCTTTCCATCACAATCCTATCAGCTGTTTTTACACATTGCCCTGGATTTTTTTATCCCAATTACCATGGTTTCTTTGTTTCAGAAGGTTTACTTTGTCAGATAGTCTTTCTTTGTGTATTTTTCGAGTTTATTTTATATACATTGGCATCCTGAGCTGATGAAGCTCTTCAGCAGTCATCTCTAATTTCTTTGTTTACAGCCTTTTTGGGTCATCCCTTCTATTCCTTGTTTTCTTGTTACCATCCACAGTCTCTCCTCTTTGAGTGCTGGCCATCATGAATCTTGGAGGTGATTTGTTTCTGGAGCCACTTCTCAGCTTCAGTCTTGTTGGAGTTCTACTCTCCCACTTAGTCTACTAGTGGACTGCCTTTGATACAACTGTGCACTGACAAATATACTGCAACAGAAATCCAGAACTGAAGGGAGGAGAGCCTGTGCTTTGGATGATGATAAAATCTTATAGTCTGTAAGTTAAATTTTTTTTTTATGGATCTTGATTATGTAAAGCCATATTCCTTCACTTTTCTTTTACCATCCACTTAAAAAACTTACTTCTACAGAAAATTTCAAATCCTGAACTTAGTTTAGTTGTGGTGCATGCTCTGTTGCTGTAAGTTTGGGTACATGGAGAATTGAAACGGCTCCTCTTTATCTATTTAAATTCTTATTTGTATTTTCTGTATTTCGTATTTAATGTTGATGAGATTAGTGTTTTTTCATATTTAACAAATTAAGGTCACAGTTGTACTTACAGATACATTTACTCAGGTCAGGTGTATCAGAAATTAAAATTGTATTCAACAATTAATATTTTTTTTCTTACAGGTCTGAAACATTTCACTTAGAAGGAAAATCATTGAAAGTCAGTTATCTTCAAGGTCAGTGGGAAGGAATGTTGGGTTCGGACTTGATCTCTATTCCTGGATCACCATCCATTACAACTCATTGTAATATAGCATGCATTCTTTCATCTAACAAAATTTTCTCAAAGGATTCTGATTGGCAGGGCTTACTTGGACTAGCTTACCCTGTCCTTGCAAAGGTACTATTCATTCTTGCCCAAACATAAGAAATAGGAATTATTTGTATTGTTTGACATTTTAAGAATTAAGATTAATTTGAAACAGGTACTTACCACCAAAATGCTTAAATCCAAACTAGTGGAACAATACCAAATTCATATGGACATTCATTTCAACATTTCACATGTTGAAACTAATATCCATATAAATTTGATATTGTTCCATTAGTGTGGATTTAACCTTTATTGTAAGTTACACAGTATTGTGTATATACTTATTACTAAAATGCTATTCTTGTTGAGTTGCTTTCATGTTGTAAACAATCATGTGACTAGGTTTCAAGTGTCTTTTACAATGCAGAACATACATAAATGTACTCATAATTCTCCACTTTCCCACCTTCCATGAAATTTATTGCACGTGCGTCAGAAGAACATTCATAAGCTAGGTTTCTTTGTTTACAGTCATGATCACAAAATATGTTCCGGCTGTGTGATTATATTTCAGAGTTACATAACTATTCCAAAAATCAGGTAGACTTACCTTTGAAATACCAAAAGCCAAAATACCAACACTGAAATACAGGAAGGAAATTGAGAGTGCCAAAAATAGCACTGGTTCCCTTCCTTCTATTAGGCAGGAATGTAACAGTCCAGACCACAATAAGTAAATTAATAGTCAATCAGATTTTGAGTATAATGTAGAACCAGAGTAAAGGTCACTGGACTGGATTCATTGAAGAATTGAGTGAAGTGGATCAGTTTCAAGGAGGCTAGACAAAAAGGGGACATTGAAAAAATCATTCTTCATAGGAGGATACTCCCCTCAACCTGGACACCCATTTATAATATGGATACATAAATGAGGATTGGGCAATAATAATAGAATCTCAAGTGGGGTCACAAGTGGTGGTGTAACAGGTAAGCACAAGGTACTGTTCTGTACCTATAACGAAAGATCCTTGGAAGATTGTATCGTTAATAACTAATGACTGGACAAGATCCTGGATCTTTGTTCATCCTACTCTGAAAAGACCAGCTGAGCCAGGATGCTAGCCTAGTCAATTGGCACCCAGGGAGAATTGAAAAAAACTAGGCAGACATAAAGATGGCCTTGATAGCTCTAAGACAGTGCCAGTACCAAATATAAAAAAGAAATACATAAAGTGATCCCTATGTTGGCTGGAGCTATGATACATCATGTGGATAACAGGTGACTTGTCTCCAACATCTTGAATGCTACACGAGGATGTGCATGTAGAGGTGGGAAAAAGTACCCACCGAAGCAACATCAGCCACCAGATGTCATCCTCTGACCTTTTCAAAGAGGCTTACCCTCTCGTGAAACTACAGCATAAAGGGTGTAATTTTGTTTAGGATACACACAGAGATACAAGTGACATACAAGAGTCCTGACTGGACGAATCCATTCACCGAGTATCATATTATAAGTAAAGACCAGAAGTGTTTTGTTTTTGTTGCTTTATTTTATAACTCAGACACATCTGGTATTGCTAATACGGGTATTGGAAGGTATGGAAACACCTGGGTTACTATATACATCCTATGTATGGGCCCAACTTGTAAATAATAGAGAATAACCCACCTGCTAGAGATTCCACCTGGCTTTAAGAATCACAAGCAGAGGCAATGGAATCCAAAGCTCAAGTGAAAGCAATATGATGTAAATAAATTTTCCATAACAAATTGGGATTCATCGACATGCCAGCCTTCAAGATATCTTCTATAGATACAACAACAGAGATGCCAAAGACATTGCCAAACGATGAATTGGGTTAGATCTAACCAAACTTCATTTTTAAGGTGGTCAGGAATATCACAGTAAACAAAACAAATTAAATGTAGAAATCAGTTTGTCAATGTAGCCAGAGCAAGATCCAAGAAATATAATTCTGTGTATGGTCTAAAGAGTTTTTTTTTTAAAACTATACTGAAAGATTCAGCATGGAATAGATAAAAACAAATAGCCATGAATGTAAGTAAAAACATTCTTCAGAACAAGAATCAGGATAAGATGGAGTAGGTAACACAGTAGGTGAAAAACAATGGTTGCCTTCTCCTGTAGCCTACGTTTAGGTAGGAAGGAAGGAGCAAACTGGTACAAGTATAAGGCCTTCTGAAAAATAAGGTACATGAAGCATGAAAGATAGAGCTATTGGGACATCTTCTGCCTGATGCAAGCAATAAAACAAAGTTTATTTTGAGGGACAGAGCAAACAAGTTTATAAGGGTTTAAAAATGAGAAAAAAACAAGAAACATAAGACTAAGTCCCATTTAGGACAGCGTAGGAACTTTGGGTCATTAAAGACGATGGGCTTGGAAGAAGTCCTTGAACAATAGGAATATAATAGATTGACAGCTTCTGTGGCCTGAAAGTGACAGATAAGATAGCTTTGTAATCAACTATGGAAGGAGCTGATAAGCTAAAATCATGAAACCAAAACATGAAAAAGAAGCAATATGTTAAGCTGTTGGAAATAGGCAAGAAATATGTTTAATGCACTAGCTTCAGAAGGTAGTCCAACAGGATTTATAGACCATCAGGGAAAAGTGTCAGTAAGAATGGGCTAACTTTTAAGTCACTCTAGAGGAGAATTTGGCTTCTTCGACAAAGGACCTAACAACAACAGCCAGCCATGAAGACATAAATGTTGAATGTCGGTGTGAAAAAAGGGTTATTTGAGGCTGTCAAATAGTATATTCCCAAGGTGGTAAAGGACTGGCTTCCTGTAAGAAAATTGATGTAATAGTGGGTAATAGAAACCATGGCTGAGTGGGCAATCATTTAAGCAGCAGTTTCTAAACCTTTTTGGACAAGGGCCGGGAGGTAGATTTTTTTTATGCTTCATGGGCCAGAGGGGTCATAGTAAAATCAGGTATAGATGCATACATGATCAGACTGGCCTTTGCTCAATTATGTTTTATTTTTGTTTTTATAATATTAAAAAATTATATTATAACTTTAATAAACTGTTGGCGGGCTGGATAAACCAAAGTTGCGGGACAGATGCGGGCTGTAGTTTGGGGACCCTTGATCTAGAGAAAGAGAGTTTTCGAAGTTATGCGGAGAAGTTGAAGCAAAGAAAAGACTGAGAATCTGTCTGAACTAACATAGAATGGTGGTTTGCAAGAGGTAGAAACTTGAGACAAGCATGCTAAACACCCCAAAGTTTGAACATCATGTGAACTGTTGCTTTCAGAGGAGTCCAAACCAAAAAGGATACTACTTCCCTAACATAGCATCTTAATGGAGAGGGAGGCATCTGTAAGAAGATTAAGGTATAAAGGACAAAGAATGAAAAAAAGATCTTTTTGACATATACTCTGTTCAACCAAAACTAAATAAATGTGAGAATGAGATGCGACTGAGAAGCAAGATCCTATTGGAGATATCACATGTGAGTTCATCCCAAGGAATGACAATATGTAGTGAAGCCATTGAACCCAAAGCAGAAAGAATGTCTTTGGCATTAGTTATATGAGACTCCAAGGTTTGTATTATTATAGGAGATGGCAGAAGTGTTCCTTGGACTTTGCTATGACATAGGTCCAGCTTATCTCTTTTTGGTTAACTTGTGTTCAGGGTTACAGATGAGGAGTGGAATTCTCCGAAACTTATAACCCAATAACACACGTTGATCAAAGTATACATTGAACTGGATCTCCCTTGAACTTAGACTTCGAAATCAAACAAATTTTGGAATACTAAGTTTATTTATTATTGATTGGTACCTGTTTAATGTCACTTTTTTTTTCCTTGAAAGCAAGAATGAAGGTTAATGTTCAATTGTACAGACTCTGTCATGTTGCATTGAATTTCATGTTACATAAAAATACCTGCAAAATGACATCTTTAAGATGAAATGCTGAGAAAAATGTCCAAATGAACACAAGTTTTTTAAACTATAGCTAATGCATGATGATAAGAATGGAACATGTTTTTTATACATCCCTCAAACATTTTTTTTTGTCCGATAATTTTCGTCAGAGCCATGTTGTTTACTGTAAAATCTATTTTCCTGCCTGTAGTTGAGTAGTTATTACAAATACCTCAGCAAGTGATGTGTCACAGTTTTCTGTGGTTCATTTATCACTTATATTAATACAATATTTGATGGTTTTATATTGAAATAACACAAAAAGAAGTGTAACACAAAATGTAAATTATAACAAAGCACAGTAATTTTTAGTATAGATTTTATTTTGAAAGTTTGAAAGGATGCATAGGGCCTAATAAAGTAGCCAACTAGTGTATATATCTATATCTATCTTTCTATATATATATATGCAAGCCAGTCACCTTATTAGGTCATCTGTACCCTTTCAGACATGGGCCTAACCTCGGCTGCATAGGTAATTAGGTTGATTACATGATGTTTCAGGTGATTCCTACAGCACTGTAAGTGACTATGACAAGTACATTTTCATTCCATCTTAACAGATACAGGGAAAGGCAAAGATATTGCCGTGTTCAAAAGAGGGTTCATAATGGCAGCACATCTAGTAGGTGCCACAGTGGCCAAAGCAGTTTTATTGGTGGTTTTCTACAAAACATTAGTCAATTGAGTTTATTAGCAATGGTAACAGGTGAATAAAATGTCTGCTGCAAGGGAGATTTGTTGCCACAAACTCGTGGTGACAAAAAGAGGAGAAAGATAGTTAGATACAATGGTGAAGTCATCATCAAACAATAGAATAACTAACAGACATTCAATACAGGGCAATCTGCATCCATCTCCAGTTGTACCTTGCATAGAACATTACAACAAATGGATTATGGTAGTAGGAGACCATTGCATAAACCATTGGACATGGTTACCAACAAGGAAAAAAAAACATCTCAAGTGATACAAGGAGTGCAGATATTGAACTAATGAGGACTGGTGTAAAGTGATATGGTCTGACCGAATGATGCAAGGAGTGCAGATATTGAACTAATGAGGACTGGTGTAAAGTCACATGGTCTGACCGAATGATGCAAGGAGTGCAGATATTGAACTAATGAGGACTGGTATAAAGTGATGTGGTCAGACCCATTAATGCAAGGAGTGCAGATATTAAACTAATGAGGACTGGTATAAAGTGATGTGGTCAGACCGAGTGATGCAAGGAGTGCAGATATTGGACTAAGAAGGACTGGCACAAAGTGATGTGGTCTGACAAGTCATGTTTTAACTGTTTTTGTCTTTGAACAGATGGAAGCAGAGAGACTTGGAGAAAGCCCACAAATGATTCTACCCTTCTTATGTAGTCCCAACTTTACAGGCCCCTGGTGGTGAAGTCATGGTTAAGGGTATGTTTTACTGGCACACACACCATGTGCCTATTGGTCCCTTTAGAAAGCAGAATGGATGCCACAGCTTACTTCAGAATACTTACTGATCAAGTACGTCTGATAATGCTTAATATGTACTCAGATGGGGCCAGTTGCATCCAAGATGATAGTGCTTCCATCCAGTGAGTTGAAATTGTGCATGCATGCATGTTTGAGGAATGTGACAGACCTCAGGCATCACCCATGGCCATTACAATTCTTGGAACTGCCTGTTTCACTCCATGAATTGTGTACGGTAGTAATAACTGAATAGGGAAAAATTTCTCTGGACACATTCCAGCACCTTGTCGATTCCTTTAGAATGGCAAAGTCTACATGTGTGTTATATAATCATGTGAGTGCAGCTATATGGCACTAAAGTTGGGCTTGATGGATCCATCTAATAACACCTAGTTTAAACTTGTACATGCTAGGTACATTGCAGGAAAGTTCTGAGATTTATAAGCTGAAGCATTGAAATATTCTGAATTATTGATTAAATTATTGATTTTAATATCGGGCAGTAAATAAAATATTTCTAGTTATGCAGGTTTTCTTTAATAATTTCTTTAAAATTTGTCATGCGTTACAAGTGCATAGGCCCATCAAAAGGTAGAGAGACCAGATATATTTCTCCATAGCCCAGTGCCCACCATGGGGCCCGTGAGAGTTGTAAAAAATTGTGAATGGGATTTGTCAAATCACTATGGAATATTTAAGCAAGAATTAACCACACCTTCAGTCACGGTATCATTTTAAAAACTATTTGGAGGGGGTTGTCCACATACCAATTCTTTTCTTGGGCCAATGATGTCACTTAGCAGCTCTGAAAATACAAATCATTTACAATTTTTAAGCACTACTGTTATTTCGATTCAGCCAAATGAATTGCTACTATATTTGAAATTGAACAATGATGCCTGAAAAAATATCATAGCTTGAAATATATCCTTTCATATTATCAATTTAAAATTTTTCTTCACAAACTATATATGTATATATACATATATAGGAATGCTACTGTACAAAATAAAGTAAAATATTTGATAGCTGTTCTGTTCAAAAAGAGCCCGACATGGCCAGGTGGTTAGGGCGCACAACTTGCAATCTGCAGGTTGTGGGTTCGAATCCCCATTCCACCAAACATGCTCGCCTTTTCAGTCATGGGGCATTATAATGTGATGGTCAATCCCACTATTTGTTGGTAAGAGAGTAGCCCAAGAGTTGGCAGTGGGTGGTGATGACTAGCTGCCTTCCCTCCAGTCTTACACTGCTGAATTAGGGACGGCTAGCGCAGATAGCCCTCGTGTAGCTTTGCACGAAATTCAAAACAACCAACCAATTGTTCAAAAAGTTTTAGGTTAGTAGATACTGAAAAATTTAATGGTTTTTTGTAATAATAGGAAATTACTGTGTTCTTAATCCTTTCATAATTTGTTTATGAGTATTTCTTGTTTATAACACGTTTAGGTAGAATTTTTAAAAATGTGCATTTATTTTCTTACATTTAGTTATCTTTGTGAATAGGAAGTAGTCAACTTTAACTTGTGGTAATTCATTGGCTTGATTAGTTGCACATAGCAAGAGTACTTACATTCTTAAAACTTTTTGTTTTGGACAGTTCCAGCTAACAAGTATAAGTGTGTAGTTTAATCACAGAAGGTTATCCTGAAGAAAGTAACAGCTAGAAAGGCTTTGTTTTCTCCTGAGTTACCCTAAGATTGACCAATGATGGTCAGCTAAGGATTATGAATAGTGAAGTGGTCAGAGCTCCAGCAGCTGTTTCCTCTACTTGTAAATGACAGTGTATAAGTTCCTATGGATTATAATTGATTAGTGCATTACTATTAGTCCAAATTAGGATTGTACAAGTAAAATTTATTGTTCTGTGTGATAATAGGTTGTGTTCTTGTTGTATACAATCTGATCTCTTCAACTGTTCACTGCAAAACTCCTTTTGCTCCTCCTGTTATTGTGGTGAGTTTTAACTGTCGGTCATCAGTTTCACCTGAGAATAATACAGCATTATAACAATAGGTCAAAAAAATTACAGTCAAAGTTATTGTTTTTGTTAGAGGTATCTTGTAAGCATTGATTCTTGGGTACACAAATATACATCGTTAATTTCATATTGTGGCATAGAAAGAAAGTACTCACCAGTCTTGGACCTAGATTTTTAATAACATTAAGGTTTACAAAATAATTTCTAAATTTGTTCTTTACATAAATTCTGTAGAAGCAATGAAAAAAAGAAGGTAGAAATTAAAATATCTGAAAGAGTTTGTGTTTCTTTCTGTTCCATAAGATCATTTCCTCAGATACATGTTTATGTTATACAACAAAAGTAATGTGTCATAAAATACTCATTTCTTAAAGAGTGAATGTACTTCATGACATGTATCTATTGGAAAGTGTTAATTGATTATCAAGTACATTATTGTGCTGATATTTTTACCTTGTCTTTTTTCCTACAGCCAGATTCATCTGTTACACCATATTTTGATGCTTTGGTTGCTGAAGAAAAAGTCAAAAATATATTTTCAATAATTTTATGTGAGAAACCTCAACACACAAATGGAAAGCAGTCTCAGGGAAAACTAGTAAGTAAATGCATGCAATGTTTTTTGCCCTTGGAGTTTAACTTTCTCTGTATAAATTTGACAATAAAAAGTACAAGAAATTAATGTAGAGTTTTATTTTGACAGAAATTTTCATTTCTATATTTGTTCCAGGAAAAAATTAATTTCCTGAATAAAAAGTGAGAAGGCTTTCCAAGATCTGGATGGAGTGTGGAACTAATTAGTTCTCTTGTGTTCTTAGGCTAACAGACAAAGGATGACATATTGCTTTACCAAACTAGTTTGTTGTATGAAAAGCTTTAAAAAAAAAACAGATTAGATATAGTGAACTCATTAGTGTAGAGTATGCTAATCAATCGGCACAAATATCAAACACGATTTCTGGTGCTTTGACAGCACATTAACAAGTCAACTTAATATATTTTTTTACCATAACTTTCAACAAATGATTTTTTTTTGTGACTTTCAACTTTTTTTTTTTTTGAGTAAAGTTTTATCTCCCTTTTATGTGTATGGGAGTCGGTGTGTATATGTTTTTGTAGCTAAATGAAACTTGACTAATTTTAATTTGAGAGATATTTATTTGCATTAATTCCAACTTTTCATTATGGGAATGATTTTTGTATATACTTTAGTACAAACTGTAATGTAAAAATCACATCCTGTATTTACTTAACTATTTTCTAGTACATATGCAATCCATGTTAGGAAACATGAACCAAGAACAAAACTCATTATTGAAAAAATTTTAATAACAATTTACACACCATAACCCTCTTTGCCTGGGCATCATTTACTGCACATGTCAGGAGGTTTTAGTGATTTACATTCAATATTTAATTAAACTATTTTTTGTTTATGTTATACTGATTGGTATAACATGAAATCATAGCTAATAATCCATATTTTAATAGTATATACGTTTTAAGTTTTTAATTTTATAAGGTAATATTTAAAAAAATTTTGAATTTCCCCTAGTGTGAGAAATGTGACATATTTTCTCTAGGCATCCCCTCTTCTCTATTTTATTCACCACCCCTCCAATAAGTACAAAATCTAACGTAAATTACTCACTATAAAATTGTCATTGCTCATACAAACCATAATTTTTATAGCCTTCAATCTTTTTTGATTACAGAGTCACTAATAGAAAATCAGATCCCTCTTGCCACAAGCACCTGTCACATTCTCTCTTTCAGGATTTGGTAATAGTTCTCTCTTACTCTTAATACAGAGAATTATTATTTTCTCTGTTAGTACAAGCTTTGTTCCCACAGAAAAAATAACAAATAGTGTGGATGAATTTGTAAAGGCTCTTGTCGCATAGTTAGAAAGCCAGAAAAAAATTTGATTGGTAGGGGAAATTGTCTGCTTTGTGCATGTTATTATTATATGTTCTTTTGTGCATTATTTAATTAAAAATTAGGGTTAAGGATCATTGACAGTCTACAACAAAAAAAAAAGACCCAGGTAAGTACCTTATTTTTTGTTTTTCTATGTTTATTCTTTATTTATTATTATAAAAGTAACTAAAATGTAAAATTAGGGATCTCCTTAAGTTATATAAGGTTAGATTAGGTAAAATAAATAATAATAATATAATAAAAATGTTTAATGAGGCATGCTTGCGAGCAGCTTGGAGTAGCCTGTGGGTAATGTAATTCGATAGTGTAACATGAGCTCCACATTCTCCACATGATTTACAACTTATAATGGCATGAATAGTAGTAGTTAGATGTGGTTCAAAGGGCAATAAAACAATAAAATTTAAGTATAAATAGATGTACACTGCCACAAGTTTAAAGCTATTTAGATAAACGAATGTAGTTTCATATTACAATTTGAAGTCATTCCAGAAAGAAAAAAAGGGGTAATTTAGATTTTTTTGGGGGGTGGGGGTTACTAGGTCGGTCAAATTGACTAATCTTTTATAGAGTTAGGGTAGAGAAAATACTGTTTTACTGAAAATAAACATTTGAAATGTATTTATGAAGTTTTTGGGATGAAGAAAATTATTTTTAATCTTAACATGAAAATCACTTTGCACGTGGACTAGTAAAAAAAATATTCAGTATATTCATGAACAAGTCTTTTTTTTAGTTTATTAAAAATACTTCACTAAAAAATATGATTTTTTTGTATGTGAAAGACCTATAATGTTTACTGAAAGTCTGCCAAATTTTGTGAAGATATACATACTATATTAAAAGTTAGTAGTATCAAAACTATAAAGACTTTAAACGAGTACAAAGAGGTCATGTGGTCGGTTAACTCGACTGAGCCCGTGTTGAGAGAGTTAACCTCAACAAGAAATCTACTTCACGATTAAACTTAGTACACTGTATATCACATTCTTTAAGAAATTTACTTCACGATTAAACTTAGTACACTGTATATCACATTCTTTAAGAAATTTACTTCACGATTAAACTTAGTACACTGTATATCACATTCTTTAAGAAATCTACTTCACGATTAAACTTAGTACACTGTATATCACATTCTTTAAGAAATCTACTTCACGATTAAACTTAGTACACTGTATATCATATTCTTTAAGAAATTTACTTCACGATTAATCTTAGAACACTGTATATCATATTCTTTAAGAAATTTACTTCAAGATTAAATTTAGGACATTGTATATCATATTCTTTAAGAAATTTACTTCAAGATTAAACTTAGGACATAGTATATCATGTTCTATAAGAAATGTACTTCAAGGTTAAACATGGGACACTATATCATGGTCCATAACTTTACCTCATGATTAAGCAGTATATCATGCTCTATAAAGTAACAACTAAAAAGAAAAAAAGGCAAGGAAAATTCTAGAAAACCCAGAAGTGGATAATATATATTCAAGGAGTGATAGTTTCTTCACAAATTTAAAGCTATTTTTTGAGATGAACAGGAATATTCTAAGAAAATTGAAAAGTGTGTTGTTTGCAGATGAAACTCTTCGGAGCTGCACAGAAATGAAAATTTGAATGTTAGATTTGAGAATCAGATTTATTATTGTTTAGTTGAAATTTGAAATGCAGGTGTTCTCTCAACATCATAAAGGTACACACCAGTCCAGATGAGGTTAGATAAATGATTATATTATCTGTATGTGTAATGTAATTCTTTGATATACATTTGCAGGGTTTACAAACAAAACTACTTGCTGAATGTTAAAAAAAACATGTTACAAACAAGATTTATTAATAAATGTGTAATAAGAATATAGCTATTGCGCTTTTATTCAGAGTAACTATACCTGAGTTGGAGTTGTTTAATCTATTAACCAATCATGTAAAATAACATGAAATTTGATGACTGACGATTCACTTTACTGAACTCACGGTAGTTGGGGGGGGATTCGTAGTTGTGCAATTATAATACAAATGTCAGGTTTTTTTTTCCACATTATATCTTTTAATAATTGAAATACAAAGCATGTATACTTAATTTAATCTGTATATTTTTGGTGTTTGAGTTTTATATGATGTTATTCAGGTAATTAATTTTAAACTCTTGTAAGTGTAATTTCATTTTAAAAATACATTGTACTATACATGTCTATTAAATCTTGTATAATATGTGAATCATCAGTTGTATCTTCAGCTCTTGTATTCTCCTGAAAATTACTAGGTACAAGTAACTCGGATCTTTCACTTGTTAAATAAAAGTTGGTTTCATTTACTCATTTTCAGAACAAGAACTATTGTCAATTTTTTACAACTGAAATCACATTTCTCACTCATGTTCTTATTACAGGTACTTGGTGGTGTACAGGATTATTTGCATACAGGAGAAATCTTATACACAAGAATACACAAAGAGTGGTTTTATGAAGTCATCTTGACAAACATGTCTATTGGGTCTAAATATTGGGCTAGTAGCTGTACTGAGGTATGTAGACTATAGGCTTGTAGAGCATTTTGGTTTAATAAAAATCATTAAATTGGCAGATGCTATTGAACAGAAACACATACATTTGGAGACAGATATAACAAAACATACATATTTCAAGTGAATTTTTTTTTTGTCAATTATATGCACAAATCTGAATGAACAGAAACTATGAAAATCATATTAAAAAATGAAAATCATTCTTTTCCAAATATGTCTCTCAAAAATATAAATATCCAAAGTCTGAACTAACGTTAACTAAAAACTAAATTAAATAGTGTATGTATTAATTGCAATTTCATAATTATGTTTCACTTCCAACATGTATTGCTTGATTAAACACTGACTCCTAACTTCTAATTAAAGTGAAAATTTAATTTGTAATCTATTTATAAAGAATATATGATAATTGAAGGAATTGATGAGATATGCTGAATGGGTATTTTTTCTTTGCAAGTAACTATAGGAAAAAATAATATACATATAAATAAAAAATGATTTTTCCAGCTGAATAATGACAAAACTATAATCGACACTGGAACATCAGCGCTTTATCTTCCACAGAAAGTTTTTTCTTGGGTAAAACAGTCACTCCAAAAATCAAATGTGGTAAGGAGGCTGAAGAAAGTCATCTAGTTTCCAGTTTCTCTATCTAAAATTTATTTTGGTGGTTCCCAACTGTTGAAAAGTATACCCCCCAGAAGGTACAGGGAGGCCTTTCTAGGGGTACATCTGAAACTTTGAAAAATATGTAAAAAGGAAAGAAACCCCACACCTCAAAATTTGATGGCAGTTTCTATGAGTTACCAATGTATTCTAAAGGTCTTAAAAAGGCTGGGAACCACTGGTTTATTGAATGTCACTATTGTTTATTTAATTTTTTGTTTAGTTATTCACTAAATACATTGCTTTTTCTTATACAGTACAAGATTTGTTATGAGATAATTTCTCTAGTGTTTAGCTATATAAAACTGTTCTTTTTCTGTTTATTATATATATCTTCCATTTATTCCAAATAGCTGTAATAAAGTTTATCTTTTGTTGCTAATTAAAAGCCTAGCGTTACAATAAGATATATTTCTGTACATCATTAAAAGTACTGAACATGTGAAAAATTTGAAATTATTGATACCTTTGCTTCAGCACATAAATATAATATAAATCTGTAATGTATGTTGTTTTTCCTGTTCATTCATTGAAGATCTTTCTTATTACAATATTCTTGATTTTTTTTAAAGGCAGATACACTGAAATGTTGCATTATTAAGCCTTTTTGTTAAAACAATATCAAGATTGTAAAGCTTTAAATATATATATATAACTTCAGCCTTGTTGTAGCCAGTTTTGAATTTGCAGTATTTTCAAAATAACAGAAATGAAACAGCATTTGGTTGATCTAAAATAATTTTTTGTTTCATCTTTGAATCCAACTATAAGGTATAGAAAATCACCTCTAAGACATAATATCTCTTCTTGGTCAATCTTTTTTCTCTTTCTTTATTATTATTTTTTGTGAACTTCAGTCCAACTCATCTTTATGAGATAACTAGTTTATATTACCCAAGTTTCATAATTTAAAAAAAATTCTGCCCTACAAGAAGTTACAGTATTGCTTGAGCTGAAATGTCAGTGTGGCATCTCCGTGGTCTCTGATTTGCATTGGACAGATGATGTATTAATATGAATTGTATTTTTCATAACAAAATTATATGAGGTTTATATATATCTATATTTCTAAACACTACACTCCTTATTTGGTCACTTAGGGTTTTTCCGCAAAAAGAGTTTATAATAGTATTTCAACCACACTGTCTGCCATATTGATATGATGTGGTTCAAATATTATTATACACTTTTCTTGGTAAAAGAACGTAGTGTTTAAGACTATATATATATATATATATATATTACTTATTTTAGTATTTCATTCCCTTTCTGATATAAGTTACTTATCCTACTTTCTTTCTTTTAGTTTAGTAGTTTTTAGAATTTTTTTTGTATGTATACTGTTACAAATAAAACTTATTTCAGCTCTAAAATAATACATTATGAACCCTTTTATTCTTTCATAATAATGTATCTTCAACTTTTATTTCAACGTGTATTGAACCCATATATAATGGAACTTAACTAGCAAATATAGAAGGTGAGATAAATGCAGATAAATTAAGCTGTTTATTAATTTCTGATTATGCAGTAATGAGAATATTGATTTTCATAAACAAAACATGATAAAATGACATCTAGTTACAGAACCAGCTCACCGAAGAATTCTGGGAAGCAACTGAAGACGTATGTATACAAAAAGGACGAAGTGTTAGTGAATACTTCCATAAAATTGTAATGTCCTTTGATGAGACAATGAATAGTAGAGTATCCTTGGTAGTACCACCAGAGGTTTGTGTTTTTGTCATTCATGTCCAGTTGTTTCTATGAATTTTATTGTGACATGATGAGAAATAAAATTACAGTATCATTCAAAAAACTTTTCTCAGTATAAACTTGCACGATTAGTCTATTTGTTTATGTATTAAGTCTACAAGGGACCAAACTTACCTCATTAAGACAAATATTCCTCCATATATATTGTATTTCTTTTTATTACTATTTTGTATGCTGTTTTCTGTGAATATATTATACATAATATCCATATTACAAGAAAGATAAACTAATTTTCTGTGAAATGTGCGATGATTATTCATATTGTTTTTACTCTCTTTTTTCTTTAAGACTTTAAAAAGTAATTTTTAAAAATATGATCACTATCTGTGTGTATATATTTCATGTCATCAGCTGTATCTTTTGAAGTCACCTAAAACAATGCCCGGTATTGATTGTTACAAATTGGGAATTTCTTCCTCACAAGCTGGTGAGTTGTAAATATAAAAAGATTCACAATTTTTTTATTTTGTAAAAGCTATTTTAAATCTGAGGTATAAAGTGTTTGAGCTTTATGAAATGCTGGTAGTTATGTTTTACCAACTAAGTTAAGTTAATAAATAAAACAAAATATATATATATATTTATAGTTTATTAAGACAAATTTTCTCACTCAAAGCAATTAGGATAATGTACTCGAGTGTAAACTGAGAGTTTAGCATTGTTGAAGTTTGTTGGTTTTGTAGAACTGATCATTAAAATAAAACACAGAGAATAAATCGACTTCATACGTGCAGTATTCGTGTCACCCCAGTGAATTACAGTGAGTCTGACCATTCTTATATAAAACACCGCTGTTCACATACATTTTCACTCCTGATGATGGTAGCGACAGTTATTTTGAATTATTTTTTAAATTTTATTATGTAAATGTTGTTTTGCCTATACTTTTAAGTAATATCAAAATAACATTTTTATTATTATTGTTGTAGCTCTTGTTTTTATTTAGATTATAAGATTGGTCACATAAAAAAGATATTGATCTCAATTTTGGTCTCTACAGACTTGGTCTTGATTACATCTCTGCCTAAAACTACAATAAGGTTATAATAATCTTTTCTCCTGTCTCTCAATCAGGAAGAATTATACAAATTTATTTTCCAAAAAAAGAAACACCAATACATAGTTATTCAGAGTGACATATTTCCATCCAAAATTCAGCACTAATGCCAGCTAACCCTTCATCTCTACTTAGCAGATGATTATTTAATTTACAACACAAAATTTAAATAGGTTCTCTGATATTGAACTCATTTACTGTATTGGGTACATTTAAAATTATTGTTTTATGTTACTGTATTGAGTGACCTGTTTCTGCAATGTGTTTGACCAACAGAGAAATTAACATCTTTTAATAATGTACACAACCTTTATGTTAATTAATAAATTATGTTTAGTTTGGCCAATATATTTTTTGTTACATTCACATCTATTTTGATTATAAATTTGGTCGCATACAAAGTATATTGATCTCGATCTTGGTCTCGCCCACCTAGTCTTAACTACTACTCTGATTTTTGGTGCAGTGGGTAAAGAAAACACAGAATAAATATCAACCAGTTACAGATTTATTTGGGAAAATCTTTGGCAAAATAACTAACAAGAGAATTTTTCATCACAGCCTGGTCTTTGTCTTATTGAGTTAATGATACAATTCCCACTTGTTGATAGTTGGAAATATAATTACAAGCATGAACAGAAATATTATTTATATATAATAACCTAAGAAAAGAACTGGCAGTTATCTAATAAGCTCTAACTTTGTAATATAAAAAGAGTTCAGATTAATATCAATACAAGCCCTAGCAAGTACATTCTTCACATTTTGGAACATGTAATGTACAAATGTAATTTTATAATCTATCTTTGTGTGAAATTCTTACTTTTTACCTTGAAGAATTTGTATAAAATGAGTATATTTGGACTTTTAGAAACAATTATAAGATAATTTAACTATGGTAAAGTACAACTAATGTTATTAAAAAATGTGTGTAGTAATCCAGTATTTGGGTTTATGACTTTTCTATTAAAGTAAATAAAATAACAACCTATATCCCTGGAATGTATCTTTATTAGCTCATTATTTCACTATTACAGCTTCATTAGAAGCTATTGATAGCCTACAAGTTAATTATATTAATATAAATTTCTCGTAGCAAGCTCCAGTTTGTGTGATACAAAGTTAAGAATAATGGACTTGTGTCTTCCTTTAAAGGTACAGTCATTGGTGCTATAATTTTGAAAGGTTTCTACATAATATTTGATCGTGAAAACAGAAGAATAGGCTTTGCTAATTCCACATGCACTGATACAGTTGCAGCAGTCATTCAGACTATGAACCTACACTTAGGTGTGTATGAGAATTTGTAAAGAAACTTCTTTTAATGTAAAAGTATAGGGTGTCCCACAAGTCTCGACCCATAGGGAAAATAGACATTATTCTCGTAAAAGTTAAACACATTTCTAATATCAGTTGTACATAGTTCAGGAAAGAAAATACCCTGATGGCACAGTATACCAAGAATTGATATATGTATGGCTGTTAATGGCATGCAATTTGAAAAAATAGATGAATTATGAATAAATTGTGTATTTTGTCCCTACGGGTCCAGACTCCTGGGACACCCTATACATCTCCAGTGAATATTGATGTGTAATTTTATCATGGTTAGTTTTTTATGATAGATCAATATGTTTTTGTTTATTTTTTCATATAAATGAATTCAGAAATATATATTTAGTTTAAAATAACATGCACTAAACAACTTATGACAAATTCTAGATTGTAAGTAGGGTTTTTTGCTGTAACAACTCCTGTTTTATACCATTAGTGTGACCTGAATATACCACTGAACATAACATTAGTTTGACAATGCCACTCAACATACCATTAGTTTGACTATACCACTGAAAATACTATTAGTTTGACTATACCACTGAAAATACTATTAGTTTGACTATACCGTTGAACATACCATTAGTTTGACTATACCACTGAGCATACCATTAGTTTGACTATACCACTGAGCATACCATTAGTTTGACTATACCGCTTAACATACTATTAGTTTGACCATTAGTTTTCCTTTATCACTGAACATATGATTAGTTTGATCATTAGTTTGCCTATATCAGTTGAAATGATTGTGAATAATAGAGCATTGTAGATCAGTAAAAAGAAATTTCAGCAATCCAAAATATGATTTAAGGGGCTCGTATACTTTTGAAGGATCCTTATGTAAAAAGACTTCGCTTCTAATCTCCTGAGACTCTCAGAATTATAACTTAATATAATTATGCTGCTCTGATCTAATTTACTAATCCAAACGATAACATACAGTAATTCCTACTTACTGTGTAAGATACAAGTAGTTGTGAGTGTTACAAATGAATCAGAAACCATTTTTATTTTTAAGGGACAAATATTGGCTTCACAAGATTAAAACAGTGGAGTCTTTTTTATTATCTTTGGGTGGCTGAACTTTATGATAATATATACAAAATATCATATATTTTTGTTGCTAATGTTATTCTTTACCATTAAATTATGTTAGATCCATCAGTTTGTGCTTACAACTCCAAGGAAAAGTCAGAGTTGACACTTTTGTTTATTACATACATAATCTTGGCTGTCTTCCTTTCATGCACCATTCCAATGTTGATGATGCTTGCTCAGTGGACTTGGCACTATATTATACGGAAATAAAGAGATTCATCAGAAGCTAGCAACCTGATTGAGGATTAATTCTGTCCACATTGGTTATTATGTCACTAGCTTTTCTGATAGATGAATTTTTACTAAATTATTAACACTTGATAAATTATATCTTTGATGATTGACAGTCTTTCACATTTTGTACAAATCTTATTTAATTGTTAATTTCTTAAAATTTATAGAAAATCATTTTGATTATGCTCACCATACAGTATTGCATAGACATCATGTTAATAAAAAATAAAGGCCTTTTTTATATATTGTTTCCACTGATAATTTGAGTATTTTATAGTGTATAATGCTGATTTCTGGTTACCACATTCGTATGGAGCTTCAAAATTCCCACTTCTTTTTTTCTCTTCAGAATTATCCATGTGAATGTTTTTTGTTGTTGTGATTAAGCACAAAGCTACACAATGGGCTATCTGTGCTGTGCTCACCACAGATATCAAAACCTGATGTTTTACATTATAATCCCTCTGACTTACTGATGAGCCTAAATCGTTATTTTACATTATATATCGGAACAAGTATTTAATGTACAGATTTCTCTTCAATTTTGCAAGCTCTAACATTATTCAAATACCTAAATTATTTTTGGTTACTTTATTGTTGATTGAAAAGAACTTAAAAACCCTATTAATATAGTATACAAATCACCATTATAACAGGCCTAACTGTATTTCTTTGATTTGCTAGCCCAAGCTGTGCTGATGAGCCTTCAATAGGGGAAACTGCAATCCACAACAGAGGGTACTGCCAATCAAAGAAAACATTAGGCCTCTACATCACAGATTCTCCTTTCAATTTTATCCTTTGTGAAATTGAAAGCAAATCTGCAATAACTATATGTAATCATTAAATACTTGGTCCGATTATAATGTAAAATAATAATTTAGGCACGAGCTCTAACATTATTCGAATACCTAAATTATTTTAGGTTACTTTATTGGTGAATGAAAAGGACTTAAAAACCTAATTAAAGAAACTAATACTTTACTGTGTTTTCTCAATCTTAACCATTAATTCAAGAGCTGTAACTAAATATTATAAATCAGCTATAATGACAGTTTACTTTTGCAGAGATGCCAACTGTTCCTTTTTTCTGAACACTTTTACAAAATGAAAGTGCTCCATTAGTCACCCCCTTCAAAGTGTTAGAGACAAGATGTTACAGGATGTATAATTTGTCACAATCTGTTTTTCTTGTTCTACATTAAAACCTTTTGCTGGACTGTAATCTGAGGTGCTGTGTTTTGTATCCTGTTATTATGCACACAAAAATTCATGCTCCAGATGGGAATGCATTATAAGAGTGATGGTCAAATCCCACTGTATGGTCTGCTAACTTATTTTCCATACATTCTTGCCTCTGTAAAGTTGTTCATTCCAGGATGGCTAAAAGTAGTAACTATGATACGGTGTCAACATTTTGTGCCAAAATACCCTGCATGATAAAGTATTTGTGTGCTCAGTTCGATATGAATCTCAAACAACTGGTAATTTTAGAAAACACCGATAAAGAGGTATATCAATGGAATATCTAGAATCTGTATCTTAAATTAATTTGTTGTCACTTATTTTCGTTAAGAATTCGAGTAAGCACAAGTAAAACCATTCAATTTTTTATAAAACGGTAAAATTTAAAATATTGATTGAAGTTTTCAATTAAAGTGTCATTTTAATGTAACTGGTGTTTTATAAATGTCTAAATTTATAACTCCACTTGATTTTTACAGGTGACTATGAACACTGATTAGTATTGTTTGAATAATACAGTTGAAAATTCACTATAAAGTAATGTATTAGTAAACTATATAATACAGAATATCAACATGAATGAACCAGTGAAATATGAGAATTGCCTGTTTAAAAAAGAAACTGGTGTGCATGAAACATAGGATTTAGCAAATCAAGGAAACTTATTCGGCATAACAAATATGATAGGTGATGAAAACTTTGGAGTGAAACATTAAGGAATCCTCAATAACTGGGGCTCTTGAAATTCTTTTAGGCAGGATTAGAGTAAATTAATCTACAAGAGTTTTTTTCCCTTTTTATTAGCCATATTTTTGTGCTCCAGCAATACCAAGTGTGGGAGGAGCATATACTAGATTTGATTTAATTACTCATCAGGATCTCTACCAACCTACCCACAAACTGAAATTCTTTCATGCAGGATTAGAGTAAATTAATTTATGATACCTCGGGCATGGTAAAATATATCAATCAAAACTGTAATTAGATCTCAAATCAGTCAAGAAATGACGAAGCTAAAAGTTTCTTCTTGAAAAAAACAGTAACAACCAAAAATACCATTGCCTCCTATTTTAATAAAACTATAAAAACAAAAGAAGTTTCGTAAAAAGGCTGTGCACTATGTAGTCATCCACTATATCAGACAGGAGCAAATGTAACTGAACACTGAAAACCAAACTTATCCTGCTGTGCAAGTTTAATACTAGAACACTGCCAAACATACATGCAGTTTATATACAAAACTGTTTGGATAGGTAAAAAGCAATAACTGAAGCTTTAGTTAACAAAAAAACTAGGTACACAATGTTTCACTAAACTAACTCGGCACTGTTAAGTGTACTACACAAGTAAAAAAAATAATAATTTTAATTTCTCTTCTCTAGAGGAATCAAAAATTGACCAATAAGGTCCATTTAGTGTTATTGCAGGATCAGTTCCTTTTCTTAAATTGACATTTTTTGAAATAGAGGAATGAGCCACTTGTTTACTAAACAAATCAAAAAATGCTAATCAAATTGATGACCAAAATATTAGTAATAAATGAATTGCTGTATAGTAGTAAAGGAAATTTATTGAACAATTTTTCTGACATCTTTTAGAGAGTAGAAATTCAAATTCACCATTTCTTATTGTGTATTAAACTTGAATGCAAGTTAACTCTGTGAAATGTTGTCTTATTTTTTCTGAGTTTCTAATTCAAACTCAATTTGCCATTCTATGCCTAGAACACAAAAGATGAGACTTATTTCATCTTAAGTCATCATTGCGAGTCTTATCTTTGTATTGTAGGTTGAAAGTAATGTCTCTGAACATTCCTAAGTGAATAAATCATAACTAAAGATAATTGTCTTTTAATAATATTAAGATAACTAACAAAATCTTGCAAGAGAAATTGTTATAGAAAGTGATTATAAAGTAAGTTTTGCAGTTCAGAGCATCATAATCCCAGAAACGGTATGGCTTAAGAAGTGATATTTTAAATTGGGTGATAAGGATATAACACAGATGTAAATGACACATGATTTATTTAACATATTTCCCATGGGTTTAAATGGCCCCGTCAGTCATAGTGCAGCTCAGGTAGAGAGCATAATAACCAGAGAGAGACTTGTAATAAGCCACATACAGACAGTAGACATCTAACAAAACTATCATGGAGGTTAACCATACTGTAACAGAACAAGCCAACACAATTGCATATGGGTGCAGCAGTGCACAATACATTGCTTGGATTTGCCAATTTCAACTGTCTGGCCCTGTCAATCATAGTGCAGCTCAGGTAGAGAGCATAATAACCAGAGAGAGACTTGAGAAAGGTTGCACTTGTGATAAGCCACAAACAGACAGTAGACATCTAACAAAACTATCATGGAGGTTAACCATACTGTAACAGAACAAGCCAACACAATTGCATATGGGTGCAGCAGTGCACAATACATTACTTGGATTTGCCAATTTCAACTGTCTGTATGGCTCTTCAAATGTTTCCTTACAAACTGGATCACGTTCAGGCATTGGAAGAGAAGAATTTAACCCACTGTTATGATTTTGCATTGCAGCTCTTGACATTTTCTACACATCTCCAAAATGCTAAGGTAACAGTGTGGTGTAGTTTTAACAGCCGACTGTTACTGGATGATAGTTTTCTGAATAACCATCAGTACATGAACTACAAACCTGCACAGTACCAAGCAATGCTCACAACCAATATGATTTCTAGCAACAAAATGTGATAGACACAATGGTTTTTCTTCAGGATGGTGCCCATCTAATATTGTTAACCAGGTGAAACGCGTCTTGTGGGAATATTTTCAAGACAGAATCATTTCAAATTGCTTTCTTTGTTAATGGCCACATCATTTACTAGACCTGACACCAGCTGTCTTCTGTTTGTAGGAGTACCATGAAAAGCCTCACACAATTCCCGACCTCAGGGATGCAATTGTGGCCAGAATACCAGATTAGATGTGCCTTGTTACTATAATGTGGACATTACAGTAATGAGGCACATCTTATCTGGTATCCTGGCCACTTACCCGATAATTGATGGACATTATAGTAACAAGGCACATCTCATCTGGTATCCTGGCCACTTCCCTGACAATTGATGGACATTATAGTAACAAGGCACATCTCATCTGGTATCCTGGCCACTTACCCGATAATTGATGGACATTATAGTAACAAGGCACATCTCATCTGGTATTCTGGCCACTTACCCGATAATTGATGGATTATCACATGGATGCTTGAAGAGCACATTTTGAACAGCTGCCATGACAGATCAGACATCAAGTCAAACTGGTACCCTGTTGGCATCACGTGCATCTGCACACTACCCTTAAAACCCCTGTGCAATTTCTCCTTCCTATGTCATGAATTTGTGAGAAATCACATATTCAGATTTAACTGGAAGAAAAATGCACGAACCTCTAATAACGGAGCTCAGCAAATGACCCAAATAATAAAAGAAAAGCCAATCTTAATTTAATAGCAGGACTGACTCTCACTGTTATAATGCACCCACAACTAAAATTTAAATATCATTTTTTGTTTCCGAGATCCCCCAGTCTGATATATTATCCATTATAAAGGAACTTTGACATACAGTGCTTTCATAGTAGTAGGAAATGACTACGTGTCCACATTAGGTAGCCTGAAATAAATGATGTATTATAAACAAAAGTCAATTTTAAAAACTATCAGAAGTCAAAACTAAATATATAAGAAAACTGAAAATTTATGACTTAAAAACACTTGCACTATTTTTAAATACAACTATACAAGGCATGATAATGCTATTCATTTCCTTTTGCTCTCTCCTGAATACTTTTTGGATAATGAAAACAACTGAATTATCAATCCATGCTTTATCACTAAGGTAGGAATGCAAGAAAAGGAAAATGTCGGAGTGTTCTTTATATATATATATTTTACTTTCCTAGATATCTGTTCAGTGGTTTTTTGTTTTGAGGCTGAAAAAGCCTACATATTTTTACTTTCCTAATGGTCGGAAATGATAAGGTCCTTGAAACACAGGGTGCAAAGATAACTAAATAATATCAAATAATTCACAAGTTAACAAAAAAAAAAAAAGTTATAAATGTATTTACTGATGGGGTGTATCCTCTGCCATTTAATATATATTTCTTTAAATATATAGTACTAGGCAAAATATTTATTGCCTACACAGAAATTAATACACTGAAAGAGCCACTCTGCAACCACTGAAGACTCGCAAAATGGTGGCTTACAATCTCTGAAAATCAGTTCTGTTATATTTTGAAAGGCTATCAAAATAGTGTTTATATTCTGAAATGAAAGCAATTAATACAAAATAACACGACCTAATGAAAAAAAAAAATATAACTGTTATTACAGAAAACAATGTCGTTTCAGGAAGCAATAAATCAGTCATTGTATCTTTAATATACCTATGTCAATACAAGTACATATCTTTTAAGTTGTACTTATTTCAAAATCATAAGTAACTTGTAATCACCTAAAAATAACCCAAAACCTCTTGCAAATTTTAGCTTACTATGAAGTATACAGGTACTTTGTGTGTTTACAATTTTTACAGATTTTTACTTACAATACAAAATTAAGTTTCCTTGTAATATTGTTTGTTTACAGCTATTAATACTTTAAACACTATTACGAATTACTTCCTTTTCACAAAACTTCTGTACATGTACAGTTTTTAGAAAAATGCAAACATTACAATTTTTTATTGAGAAAAAAGAGTAAATCAAACACATTCTTGTAAGTCTTTAAAGACATTTATTGCCACTTGGATCTAGAAAGTCCAAGAATGTACAGGCCATTCTGCTACACAGTTTATGTGATACGGGAAAGAAATCAATAGTACATGTGTATATAAGGTAATATTCAATCTTTCTGAACCTGGCAACTGGATTAGCTCATCCTCTCAAGGCACTTACTAATAGTTAATGCACCCTGAACAAACTGCACAAGTGGTAAGCCACTCAGCTACTTCGTACATTCAAACACTCCACAGGTTGATTACAATCTATTTTCTTTTTATGACTAAATATGATTACTTGGAGAAAGATCCTTCCACAATTATCCACAGCTGGATTATCCTGGTTCCCAGACACAGTTGCTCTTCTGTTAATCACTCTAATAACACTACAAAAAGAAGAAGAAAAAAAAAAAACACCAAGAAGCAGTTTACTTCAATATTCAAAATCCAGTTTGATTAACAGCTGTCACATCATACACGATTTTTTGTCCACTGATAATTGCTGAGTAATTCAACTTTTTTTTTTTTTTACACAGTCTTCGAAATGTGCAGCTACAGTCCATGTTTTCTTAAGAGGCTAGACTTTGTCTGTAATATAAACACACTTTCACACATGTCCTTGATGCTTTCCTAGTGCTCCCGGCCAACCAGGATGTTGTTTATTGTTGCAATATTGGTACTAAACCAACTGCGTGGCTTCTCAAATATCTTCTAGGCTATGAACCATCCTTCAAGAGGTAGGAAATGCCACAAATATACGTTATGTAAACACTAGTTTTCAGAGAAATCAGTTTTTATGCAAGAAAACTCGATGGCAATATTTTAATTCTCAAATACCATAATATACAAAAGCTAGTGTCTCATTCAAATGAATTGGATACCATGACAAAAACTTTCTTTTTTCTTGCCAAGACTGAAATGAAACCTGTGTCAAGCAGTCACAGCTTTTTAGTATGCTATACATATGTTGAATATAAAGATATATAGCGTATTAACTTTGTATTTTCATTTTAACCTAAAAATAGTTAGTCTGGAATGAAAAATCTGCATCTATCCGATTGAAACAGTTTCGATTATTTACAGTTAAGTCATTTTTAATTCTAACACTACAAGAAAAAGGAAAAACTGGTTTCACTCAAAATTATGGCACCGAACTTCTACATATTGGTATCAGTTGGAGCATGAAAATATTTATATATACATACACACACACATATTTATGTTTATTCTAATATTTCAGAAATTTAGGTATATATGTATATATATATATACGTATGTATGTACGTTTGCGTGTGTGTGTACATAAGATGTTTTTTAATCCAAGTCTAAATTTTCTGTTGTTTTTTTTTTTGAGATATCAAAGCCAATTAACAGATTTTAGGCCCTTTTGGAATTACGACATTCCCACATTTTAATAACAACAATGAAAGTAACAACTCAATTTTGCTATACTGTGATTACATGCAAAAAACAACTATCTTACACCATAATATTCACAAATTTCAATGGATCAGTGTAAAAAATAGCATTCTCAACATCCCTGATCCCTGTACAGTAAGAGCACTGATTGATCCATAGATGTAAATCAGCTGCTAATTATGGAAAGCTTTTTTGGGTTACCTTTGTCCTTCCTTGGTTTAAACATTCCAATACTACACAGATAAAAAATTATAAATACAGACTAAGTCAACTGCCGCTCCTCAAACAGGACCGTTCTGTAATGTAGAGTCTTCCACTTTTGGCTCAGCAGTTACCTGCTCATCTCTGGAAAAAGCATGTTTATAAAATGATTAAGATTTTATTTTCTAAGCTGTAGCATATAAATTATATATAAAATGAAAACTAATCACTTATAGTGAAACCAGCATTAATTTTTACATAGCATACTGAATACTGGAGAAAGGAGTAATTCCATTAATTAAAATGATTTAAGCTCTAGAAAAACTATTTAACCAATATTTTGGCTTATGTTGGTTAAACTAAATTTTCCGAAGCTTAACATTATCGTGCCCAGATAGGTGCATTCCTCCACAAAGGAAAAACCAGCACCCTTCAATTAAGAATAAACTACAAAAAATTTCCTCTATTCAAATAAAAATAATACTTTTAAGTTGAAATCTATTCAACGAAAAAAATTTTACTTATTCAAATTTATGACAAAATTAAAACAAATTTTTATTTTTGGTTGACTTCAGGATATTCTAAATACAAAATTAGTGTTTAAATTTCCAAAGTTTTTCCTAAGCAAGCATAATATAGCACTCGTAATCCCCTAGAAGGAATTGAAATAGTGTTAATTTGAACTTTGTAGCTTTAATACAAGTATAACCTTAGCAATTTTACTCAATAGCTGTTCCTCAACCTTGGATGTCACAATGTGATGTAACTGTCTACACTTCAGCTTTGAGAAGTCATAGGCTAGTGATCTGCAATAAGTAAGAGAAGCTCTTTTTCAGTTCAACTGTATAAGCCAATATGACTTCCAGTTCAGCAGATTTATTCAAAGGTTGGAACAAAGTGATAAAAGCTTAGTTGCTGGAAGAAAAGATGTTTGTGAACAACTTCCACCACAATTAGTCCTGTTTTTTTTTAGAGCTTGCTTGATCATTTCATATTTCAACTGAATGATGATCTTGCAGTACAGTAGGAAAAATAGGCTTAGTTAATTAATTTTGAGCCCAATTATATCAAGTTTCATTTTGTCAATAAGACTACTGTGTTAGGGCTAAGTAACCATTTGAATGAGCAAAGAAAATAATAAAAAAAAAAATATATATATAAATGAATATAAAATGTGTTAAAAACTTTGTTACATGTATCAAATTAAACCTTCTGGTTAACAATTTTTAAAAAAATCAGCTTGCTTATAATTTTGACAAAGTAACAATGTTATTTTTATTGTATGCAAGTGATCTTAAACAGTGTGTGTGTGTGTGTGTGTGTGTGTGTGTGTGTGTGTGTGTGTGTGTGTGTGTGTGTGTGTGTGTTAGTTATTATAACAACTAAACTAACTTAAGTTAGTAATTAATAATATATTAGTAAGTAAAGTAATAAGTATATAATAATAATATAGTCTAATAA